TTGAAATATACTAATCAATAATTAATCATTGTCCATAATATCGGTGATAATATACTTGTGCAATTAATACCAAGATAGAAAAAGAATCTTTTTGTTTTTCTTTTGTGTTTTCGGAATTTGAAGCAACATAGAAAGAGAATCTTAATATCAAAATAATAATAAAGCCATTGAAGAATGTCACCAGTAAAGCTTTAATTTAACGCATTGTCAACGTCTCTGTTCGAAAATATACAGAGAATCAGAGATATATAACATTACTATTTTATTTTTATAAGCCGACGATTTTGGATCAATCAATACATAACCAGACAGCGTAGTGACAGTGACGTACGTTGATCACGACATTCATTGATGGTCCTTATTTAGTGTTAGTCACGTGATCATTAATTATTTTCTTTTTCTTTTTCTTTTTCTTTATTTTTTCTTTTTGGTCTTTACTTCTCTTTCGGGAAAAAAAAAAAAAAAAAAACCAAAAAGAATCATATTACAATTAGCATCTAATTAAATACCAAGAAGAAAATAACAAAACGAAAGCTATATTTATCCAAACAAGGGGCAGCTATAGCCCACGTTGCAGAATCACAAACGGTTGTCAAAGCATTCTTCACTATAAATTAATATTAGTAGTCGTTAACATTAATAATTCCCTATATATATATATGTATATATTTAAGGTTAATTCACTATATTACTTATATATCAACTGGGATATGTGTCGGATATAAAATGTTAATTATCAAATTAATTAAACACTCAAGTCCATATATAAATACAAAGACCAAGAGTTGTACTCTAAATTTATCTCTTTTCAAAGCGAAATGTAAATGTCAAGTCCATATATAAATACAAAGACCAAGAATTGTACTCTAAATTTATCTCTTTTCAAAGTGAAATGTAAATGTTTAAATTCGCATCATGCGCATAAGATGGGTGTGAGTTTTTTTTACTAAAAAGAGAGACAAATATATATATATATAGATAGATGTAACTCTATGCATAAAGACTTTATTTCTCTAATATTCGTCTTTTATTTCATTAGATAAAATTGGTGTTATTATATAGCATAGAACATTTAATATGCATATAGCATAGAACATTTAATATGCATATATACCACATTTCTTTTGAAAAAATTATATAACAAAATAAATAAAATAAGAGAGTTTAATAAATAATTATGTGACATAAATCACGAAATTGAATTAACCGTTTGTTTCTTTTCTCCATGTTAAATGATGTGTCAACCATAGAGGTTATCATTTTTAGGATTATCCCTCATAGGCTTTTTGTGCCTTTTTTTTTTTTTAAACATGAATTGCAATTTTTTTTTCTACATGAATTGCAAATTTATATGTAAAATCACATTATTGCTTCAATAACAATTAGATGCTTTTACTTACCCAAAAAAAAATTTTAATTTGACTTTTTATACTTCTTAAAAAATTATCTTATCCAATTATTAAATAAAAAAAAATTTAATTTTCTCCTCATGAGAAAGACCTCTTATAAATTTTACATCAATCAAAATATTTTATACAATATGCACCAACCGGTGTCGTGTCATTTGCATAGTGTGGGAAAAAAAAATTGAAATTAAAAATTATTGTATTGACCTAGTTTTGAGGGTGTCATTTGCATAGTGTGGGAAAAAAAATTGAAATTAAAAATTATTGTATTGACCTAGTTTTGAGGGTTGTGTGATGTGTTTAAATTATTGGTAGATTTGGTAAGCCCATTAATAGAATCCGGACAATATATTTAATTCATACACATTAACGAACTGCAATTGGTTTATTAAGAATATTAGTTGGCGCAGTAGGTTGTAAATAATATTCTTTTTTTTACCTTAGGTTGTAAATAATATTATCTGCATGTACGATCAACAGTACTGTTTTATACTTAATGCATTTAGTATTTGTCACCGCATACTCTATTGTTTGTTTTTTAATAAATAAATATGCTAAAGCATATAAGATTAGGTAGAACACCAGCATGTTGTGCGCATGGTATATATTTTGAAAAATTATTAGTATATTATTATTAGTTTCGAGCTAATCAATATTTTGATACATCCATGTAACAGTTTTATTCCATTTTTTACTTATGTGGCAGTCAGTTATTGATCTGGAGCAATCAACCACATAATAATTTTGGGTGTATTTTACTTCTTTCATTCTTTTATACAATATTGAAAATTTGTGTCAATTCTTCACTCTCTTGATGGCTATTAATAGGGATGACAACGGGTCGGTATAGAGCGGGTTTGTCTAAATTTGTATCCGTCCATTTAAGTATGAACAAATTTATATTCGCGACGAGTTTTAATTTCACAATTCATACGCGTGCAGTTAAGAGATAAGTGTACCCGTCCCGCCCCCTTTCCTTTTTCTTTTTCTTTTTTGTTATCTATATAAATTGATAAAATTTATAAATTTGTACAATGTAAACATATATATATATATATATATATATATATATATAATGTGCATACATATCTAACACACATATACATCTATATATATATATAATTTTAAAAGAATAAATAAACGATTCTCATATCCGTGCCATTAATGATGGAATAAGTAGGGACTCCGGCAGTACAAATTGCCATACTGAACTATTAACAGTTTTATAACAAAAATTGTACTCCGTAAGAGAATTGTGGCTATTGTAGTGGAACAAATATATTGTGGGTCGATCCACATTACGATAACCCAACAAATATATTGATACTGAAGTTTTTGGGTCCATTAGGCTGATATTGTCACTGGTTTCAGGTATGCCGTATGCCGTTAAATGGTAATGCTTCCTAAAGCATTGGGCTTGGACTTCTGACATAAAGGCTGTTTGGGCTGATGTCATGGTCCAATATGGTTAGGTTAACAAGCGTATAAATTTATATTGGTGTGGTAATGAAATAAAGTGGGAATGGAATGAAATGGAATGAGAATATTTCATGTTTGGTTGGTACAGAAAAACATCATATTTTTGTAAAATACACACACATATATATAATAAATAATAAATAAATAAAATATTTGGCTTCACATGTGTATAAATAATAAATAAATAAAATATTTGGCTACACATGTATATATATGTAGTCAAATATTTCATTTATTATTATTATTTGTTAAGTGGGAATGGAATGATCATTTCTTTAGTTGGAAAGTGGAATGAATTAATGGGAATCACAATTCTCAGATAATGAGCAAGAATCATTATTGGAACTTTAAAGTTGCTTACCAAACTAAATAATATAAACAAAACCATTCCATTCCCACTTCATTTTATTCTATTTATGTTTTTACTTTTAAGTGTAGTCAATACCATTCGATACGATAATGTATATTTGTTGTAAAAATTTTGGAAGCAAAAATATGAAAACATTTTATTGTAAAAAAATGCAACAAATTTGAAAACCTAAAATATGTAGATAAAGAGGTGATTTTTAGGATTTTTTTTTTTTTTTTTTTTCTAGCTACAACCAATTGAAAGTTTTGGCCTCTTCTTCAAAAGTGCTTCAGTACACCATTGAGAGGGATGTAAATTTGTTTATAATTAAAACTCTTCTATACGATTATATCTAGTTTATCTGGACTTTTATGACAAATAACCGAAAGATATAAATAACAAAGATTAAATAGTACAATCAATTTAGAGAGATGATATTTGCACCTCACTTTTTTTTACACTTTGTTTATTATTTTTTAAAAAAGAAATAACAATAATGTCCTTAAATTTAATTTATAATGTCATAACTACCCTTTATATAGCTTTAATTTTTTTTTTTTTTTACCTTATTTACTTTATTTAATATATATATATATATACATTTTTCCGGAGGTCCTCTCAAAAAAAATAATTTATTTCATACTAATAATTTTATTTTTGATAGTCAAAAGGGATAATTTATTCTGTAGTGATTTTATTTATTTATTTATTTATTTTTTGTACATTCAAAAGATATATTTATTCAACAAAATTAACATTTTTATAATTTTGTCAAAAGAGATAACTTAATTTTTTGATAATTTTTTATGGGTTCTGTCAAAAGAAATAATTTATTAGATACAAATATATATATATTTTTTGGGTCTTATCAATATAGATAAATTTTTTTCAATCATCTTCCTTTTGAACTTTTTATTATTATTATTATTTTGGGATCTTGACAACCAATATAATTTCTTCAATAAATATATTTTTTTGGAGAATTTTTTTTTTATGTCAAAAGAGATAATTTAAAAAATGGTTACTTTTTATTTTTTAAATTTGGTCAAAAGAAGTAATTTATTCAACATAACAAAATTTTATTTTATTTTTGGTCCCTTAAAAGAAAAAAATTATTCAAAAATTATTTTAATTTATTTGTATTGTCAAAAGGTACTTAAAATATTAAAGATTATGAGAGAAAATATAAAAGGATAGTTGTGTTATTTAAAAAGTAATAATTATTTACTTGTAAAGTTAAAATTAAAACTACTATTGTAAGTAGATGTTAAAGAGTGGAGTGCGAATATCACCTTTCTAAATTTATTAAGTGGTATACATATATGTGACAGAAGTAAATTATGCCATCTACACACATAAATGTGCGTTTATTCCTAAAATAGTGTTACAAAAATTATGTATTATTAATTTGCAAGTAAAATTGAATTAATTTAGAAATTCATTAAAAGGCAATTGAAAAAACAATAAAAAAATTAATGTATAAATTAGTATGACTAATGAAGTCAAAATGCCATTCCCAAGACATAATAGAAAACAAGTAAAACCTCGTTATTGTACCCGTTCAGCCTTTTTCTCTATAGCGTGAGAGCACGCCCACGCTCTCGGAGCGACACGTGTCACGAAAACCACAACAAAAAATAAAACAAACAGATAAAGGCGGGAATACAAGTCCAAAATAAGGGGGGCTTAGTTTATAATTAACCAAAACACACCATTTTAGTTTGGAAAAACAAAAAAAAAAACATTTCGAAATTCCAAGTCATTTCTAATAATTTTGCTTTTCGCAATAAAAAAAATAGGAAACAGAGCCTTTTATTATCGTTAAGTCTGTTTTCACAAAACAGTAAACATAACCATCAGTTTGGTGGATCATTATCGATCTCTGAAAAGTGAAGACCCAAGAAAAAGAAGTTCCAACCTCTCTCAATCTAAAACCTCCACCAGTTGTTGTTGTTTCTCGGTCTCAAACCTCTCGCTGTGCAGAACAACGACAATGCAATTGCGGTTCTGCTCATCAGGTTCGCATCTCTATCCACTTTGCTTTCGTACACCTTTCTTATATGTATAAATCTAGGGTTTCATGTGGATCTGTTTCTAAACTATGCAATTGCGGTTTGAGAAGTTTGAACATTCTTATTTTTGCAAAATTTAGTTTGCTGTATTTCAATTTTTCTTGTTTTGAGTTTAATTTCGATCTGAGAGAGCTCTCAGTTTAGGTAATTTCAGTTGATTTTGTTTCCATAATCCTAATGCTGCCTTTTTTATCTAGCGTATTTTCAGTTAGTTATTCTAAATTATTGAGAAAAAAAGTTAGTTTTTTTTTTTTTTTTTTTTTTTCCTTCTTCTACTGGTATTATAGTGCCAATAATTTAGGCCATTTGGTGATTTTGTTAGTTTGGGTTATTTGGTATTATATGTACACTCAATTGGTAGTGCTTTGTAGTATAGATGAAATTTGCAATTTTTTTTTTTAGATAAGATTATTCAAAAGACATTCATATTGAAAGCAGATAAGAAATCGAAAAAATATTTTTCTTATGAGTATTGTTGATAATCCAACTGTATTTTTAAGGCAGCACCTACATTTCTAAATTTTTATGTAACTCTTATTGTACCTGTAGAAAAAGTTATGCTGAAAGTTGAGGTTATGCAGAGTGATCTGCGAATCTGTTGATAATTTGATATTAAAATTAAAAAAAAAAGAAGTAGAAAGAGGGAAAAGTTTTTAGAGGATGCTAAGGCTGTAAATCTATCTGTTGCACACCTCCAAGTAAAATATCAATTGTTTTTTCAATGCTTATATAATACAGCAGTGAGCAGTCCCAAGGGGGCTAACTGAACAACATAAAATTATGTATTATAAAATGCTGTTATATGTCATCGTTTTTGCATTATTTGAGCAATGAATGTTTAGTGTGGAATTTATATCTGAGATTTACTTGGGAAAGCAATTCTGTCAGGGACTGTATAAAGCTCGTTCTCACTACTGGCTGGAAACTTCTACTGTAATTGAAGACGATAAAATATCTATTTTGATAATTAAACCTGAAGTTTAGTCCAAATCTTTATGGCTTAATGGTTATAACATGGACTATGTTTTATTCTTGAAATGAATATCCTCGTCATGATTTCTGCACTTTTTGGAGCAATGTTTGCACTTACTTGATTTATTTATTTTTCCTTTTTAGTAACTCTAATAGAAGGATTTGCAGGGAACTATTTTCTTGCAGCAGTGCTTCCGTAATTGTTCTTTGAAACAACTCATCTACTAGGTTCTAGTTATGAATCCACTCTCAGAAGTGAATGCAAGTGAAAACAGGCAATCCAACAGCTCAAATGTAGTTCTTAACAGTGATGGTGAGGAACAAACAGAAGGTAAAATAGTTATATTCCCTTTTGGATGAAGGTAAAAAAGTTGAACAATTGTCAATATTAAACTTGGATGGAGCTTATACCATATTCTATTAGAAGACGATAAGTATTGCAGTAAATGTGGTCTTTCTGCCTAACAGCTTGAGTCATTGCCATTTGCTGTCTAAGTCCTAGTCTATAATATGTTGCCGGTATCACATTTCGTGATCAATTCCCTAGTATATTTTCATAAGCCACGTGAAGAAATGTATACTTTGTTGATGGACATAGCATCCTATTGACAGTTTACAGAATGGAATTGCAACCTTTGCCTTTTTTTATTCGTGGCATATGGAACATGGGCCAATTACTAAGTTTTGCTCATTCTCAGACCGAGCTCAGTAAAACTCATACTTGAGGTGGTTCCGGTATTAGCTTAGCTCAAGCAAGCTATGAGTGAGAAAGGATTTATCTGATGATTCTGATTACAAATCTTGTAGCTTATGATATTCTTTAACTTTGTGTGAAGTTCCATGAACTAATCTACTTTGGGGTGACCAAAGCTTGAGTTGTTCCAAAGCACAAAACCTTGTTCACACTGATAGAAAAACTGCAATAGGATACGATTATGCTTTATGTTCTCCTTCTGGTCATTTAGATTGGTGTCCGAAACACCTGATTTGTGGTGAACATGAAGGTGATTTGTTCAAATTGTTTGCATATTAATCACTTATACAGAATGTGTTGCAACAATTTATGGAACTAGGTATCGCATTGGCAGCCTCTCTGAGTTCCTGGATTACAAGAAAATTTAAATAGCTGTTAACTTTTCAGAATGGTTGTCCTTGATGAACTGAGAGAAAGAAAGGGGAGGGAATGGGTTTGACGTTGTGATAAATGATGCTGTTCACCCTATTTTACTTGCTGTTTTATCACTTTAGCAGTTAATATTTTGTCTTTTAAAATTAAATTTTGTTCCCCCTTCCAGAATCTTTGGCTGCCTCAATTCATAATGTTGGAAACAAGTTCCATGAAATGTTCCAATTAAAGCAAGGATATTGTGCTGATCTTCCTGCTCTTAAGATATCAGATTTGATGAAACTAAACAATGTAGAGGTAATTGCTTGATCTCTTTGCGTATTCGGAGATCTTCATAAAATTTTGGTTCTATACATCATGCAGTTTGACACTGCTCTTATTCTTTTAGCAACTCTTATTTGCAGAATGCTTCGACTGCAGCACTTTTCACCATTGTGAACAAGATTCTGGATGAAAAAATTGAACGAAAGAATGGGGACATATCTCATGTACGACAGTTAAGAGAGCTCATGGATTCTATATTACTAAAGCACACTTAAATTGACACGCTATATATATTTTCGTTTCTTACTGATACCTAGTTTGCTTTATATTTTGATATTCTAACTAAAGGTTTGTGATTCTTTTCCCAGTGCGTGGCTTCTCTGTTGAAAAAGGTTCTGCAAGAGATTGAGCAGCGGGTTTCAGCTCAAGCAGAAAATTTTAAAAATGTAAATCATATATCGAACTACTTCTCCTGGAGCATAATTTTGTTTACTGCTTCTGAATTCTTTTGTGTATGCAGCAAAACCATCTTTACAAGGCTCGTGAGGAGAAGCATCAATCAAGAGCAAGAGTACTTGAAACCCTTGCAACTGAAGCTACTGAAGAAAATGAGGTAATTTGACTTATGGATGCACACATAACCTTTTTCTTGTTAACTATTATTTATTTATTTTTTAGCCTGACAATGAGTTTTCTTGTTAACTATTGAATATTGATTCCTTTGAATTTGAAATGTTCGCATTACAATTTGCAGGTTGTTATGAACCACCTTATGCAGATTAAGGTGCAATTCTTATCTTTGAGATCAATTTTAATCCGTGACCAATGAAGCACGTTTCACATTGTTACTGATAGCTTATCCCTTTTCCATCTTCAATCAATCCTGAGTACACTGCTCAGTTATAATTTTTGGACATGCCTCCTCTCTGTTATCATTTTTGAGTTAGTACATTCTATCCCTTGTCACTTTATCAGAGAAGCATAGTTACTGCAAAACGTATGTTGGCCTAGATGGGGACAGATTGTAGGTTTTGATTGACAATTGGAATAAATAAGCCTAAAATTGGGTACAACCATGAGCTAAACTAGTCAGTTTGGGCCTCCATAAGGGCCTGGGCTAACCTATTTCATAGAAAATGACTCTGGCCTATATACAACACAACAAAGTTCATTTATACAATTTAATTATTAAGCTTTGGCAACGTGAACTGAATTCAATTATACGATATCCTATCCTGTAACAAGATACCTTGGGATACACAAGGATGTATACAGCTACATAAAAGGAACAAAGTGTTGAAAAGGTTATCCAAGTCAATGGAGGACCATGGAGCACTTTTACCCTTCAAAGGAAAAGTTCCCTTGCTCTAAAATGTATGTGTTTTTAATCAAACGAGAGGTAAATAAACCAAATAATTACCTCTATTGATTGAGAATTATGCTGGTCCATGTTCCTCCAATCTATCAATTGGTTTTGGTGTCTTGTTTTTTCTAAACAATAGTGTAGGTTTCTCTGCATTGGTATATTTGTGTTGTGTTCCTTTGCGCTGTCCATTAGTGCCCCTGCTGTTAATTGTCAGATGACTTGCAGTTGGTTAACATATTATCAATTGTTTCAGATTTACTGAACTTTAACTGTGCTAAGAATACACTGACCTTATAGTATTGCTTCATGATTGTAAACTGGATGGTTCCTTGAGCTTGTTGGGCTTTTGGCTTTTCTTTAATTTAATTATTTTTTCGAAGTGCAGTTATTGCGCAATGAAATTTTGTTTATTATTTATTAGTAAGAAGATACCTATCAGTTGGTTGTGAGATACTCATATTGCTGCTAAATTTGGTTTATGTGCTTTTTGCAGATTGAAAAGGCTAAAACTGAGGAGAGGAAAAAATTTGAAGAGCAGGATGTTGCTAGATTGTTGAAAGAGAAGGACCAGAATGATACTCAGATTTCTGCACTGAAGCAAGAGCTAGAATTGGCCAAAAGGACATATGATAATCACCACTTGCAACTGCAAACACAGGCTAAGGAAACCAAAGTTGAGTTAGAGAAAAAGTTAAAGGAACTTGAGTGCCTTCTGACAGATTCAAGAAAGAAGGTGAAAAAACTGGAGGCATTTTCAGAATCTAAATATTTGAGATGGAAACAGAAAGAGCTCAGCTACACGAGTTTTATAGATCTTCAGACTAGATATCTACAGGTTTGCATAAACCTTCATCTTTATAATTTCAAAAATCCTTTCATGTTTAATACATGACATGTAGTTATGAAACTGTTTAGGGTTTAAGGGCAGCTTCTGAATCCATAAAGCAAGAAGTTCTCCGGTCACAAAGGATGTACTTGGAAGAATTTAATCACTTGGGTAGAATCTATAGCTTATCATTCATTTTTGTCAACGGTTGGTAATTGTGCACTCGTGCTGGGCTCGGAATTTCCCTCCTGATAAAAACATCTTACTGTGAGCAGGGATGGAGCTTAATGAATTAGTAGATGCTGCTGAGAATTACCATATGGTTCTTGCAGAAAATCGAAAATTGTACAATGAGGTTCAAGATTTGAAAGGTACAATGATTAGCACAATATCGCTTGGTTGCTTAGGTCTATAATGTCTATGACTCATCTATGTTTCTTTCTTTTTGGTAGGAAATATTAGGGTTTATTGCCGAATAAGACCATTTCTTCCAGGAGAAAGTGTGAAGCACACAACTATAGAATATATTGGTGACAATGGGGAATTAGTTGTTGTGAATCCTTCAAAACAAGGAAAAGACCGTCATAGGCTGTTCAAATTTAGCAAGGTGTTTGGTCTAGCAGCTACTCAAGGTTTTACTTTTTTTGGCTTATTATGTAATGTTTGATACTTCATTTTACATTTGTTTACTACCAGAAAAGTGGCTTCAGTTTGGAAATTTTTTTGATTCTCCATTGGTATTCTTCTGTATTAAATGATGGCAGAGGAGGTATTTCTGGATACTCAACCACTAATACGTTCTGTTCTTGATGGCTACAACGTTTGCATCTTTGCCTATGGTCAAACTGGTTCCGGTAAAACTTATACAATGGTATATGCCATTCTTTGCAATTTGACATGATAATTATTTTGGTGGTTCTTCATTTATATCTTTAAATTTTTTTCTTTTTGATATTTCTCCCAGACTGGGCCTAATGTATCATCTAAAGAGGATTGGGGGGTCAACTATCGAGCTCTAAATGATCTTTTCCACCTCTCTCAAAGTAGGAAAAGCTCCATCACTTATGAAGTTGGTGTTCAGATGATTGAAATATATAATGAACAAGTGCGTGATTTACTCTCTAGTGATGCTTCTCAGAAAAGATATCCTTTTTCCAATTTCATTCTTGTGGTTTTTATTTATACTTGGGATCTCTATCAGGTTGTGATGTTAACTCCATGTCTTGATTGAATGATACCTCTTATAGGGTGAGCCATATATCTTGGTAGCATTTTCTTCCGTGTTTCTATTTCTTTTGCATCCTCTTTTTCTTTTCCTATTGCTTTCATAAGGTATAAGACTTTCATATTTCCATGAATTCATATGTGCTATGCTGCTTATTCTTTATTGATTTTGCATTTGGTTAGATATAAGTAAGCTATAGTTTCCTTTAACTTGCACACACTTGGGATTTGGAATACTTCCCAACCAAATGGATTAGTTGTCCCTGAAGCTAGCATGTACCCAGTTAAATCAACTTCAGATGTTTTAGAATTGATGAATATTGGGTTAATGAATAGGGCTGTAGGTGCTACTGCACTGAATGAAAGAAGCAGTCGATCCCACAGGTTTCTGACATTAACTTTGTTTATTCCGACTCCCCAATTAGTTCTGTTGATATAGTATGATTTTCATTCAAGTCTATGGTGCAGTGTCCTCACTGTTCATGTCCATGGCACGGATTTGGCGACTGATGCTGTTTTGCGTGGGAGTCTGCATTTGGTAGATCTTGCTGGCAGTGAAAGAGTAGATCGTTCTGAAGCGACTGGGGATAGGCTACGTGAAGCACAACATATAAACAAATCACTATCGGCTCTAGGAGATGTGATCTTTGCTCTAGCGCAGAAGAGTCCTCATGTTCCATACAGGAATAGCAAACTGACTCAAGTTCTGCAAAGCTCTCTCGGTAAACTTTTTCCCTTCTTTTAGTTCTTTAATGAAACGATTTATTCATGCCATTTATTGCTAAAGAGTGCAAGTTTTACATCATACTTTTTTGTCATTCTCATTCAGAGATTTGCTTGATCCTTTTTTTTTCCCTTTCATCTCTCTGACTCTCTCTCTCCCTCTCTGTCTTTCTCTTTCTGCGTGTGTTTATGTGATTCTTTGCATTATAGGTGGCCAAGCAAAGACCCTTATGTTTGTGCAGCTCAATCCTGATGTAAAATCATACTTTGAAACTATAAGTACCTTGAAGTTTGCCGAGAGGGTTTCTGGTGTAGAGTTAGGTGCTGCACGGAGCAACAAAGAGGGAAGGGGTGTTAGAGAACTGATGGAACAGGTATACTTTATTTTCTTTTTCATGCTCATCAAATTTGGTCTTTGAGCCTGCATTGAGTTTTATTAATTGTTAGAACACTTGCTGTCAAAGATTTATAATAGTTTTCCTTCACTGATATATTTGAATATTAGGTGTCATGAAGTTCACAAATTTATGCACCACATTCACAATTATTGCTGAAAATAACAAAATAATATGCATTAGATATATCATGAAAGTTAGATAACTATAATGCATACTTATCAGTAAAGTAAATCATCTATTGGTGGTAAGTTCATATTTATTTATTCATTCATTATTTATTTTGTAATATTATATTTATTGATATAAACATACTTTGCAGTGATGTTTGGCTAATAAATACTAACAAATGAAATTAGAAGTTTTTTATTGCATCTTTTCATATACTGATGCCAATGACATGAAATTGAAGTCAAGTGGAATGGTATTCCTTCAGGAACATCTTTTAATATGAAAAAGAAAATTTATCCAAAATTTATACAGAGTTACATAATTTAGAAGATGAAACTATGTGAATTTCTTATTGACTATTCTATTTAATATGCTTTTACTGTCCTGTATGAAGAAGCGTTATTGCATGATTCACTTGTTGGAATCATGTATAGAATGTTAGTTTTTTTAGTTAAGAATAAAATATTGGATATTTTGAGGTGTGCTCATATTGCTTCCAAGATAGTTGGACATGACTACTTTTAGATGTGTTTGCGTTATATAAAACTTGTGTTGTGGAGTGTCTAAAATGTATAGGCCAAGTGTTGGGGATGTGCTAGCCAAGCGTGTGGGATTTGTTGCCCAACTGTCCGATAATAAATTTATTTTTTGATTACGGTTATGGATGTGTTGGACACATGACCGGCGGGTGTCCATGAAGTGTTATTATCCGAATTCGACATGGACATGGCTCCTTCATAGAGGTGTCCATGAAGTGTTATTATCCGAATTCGACATGGACTTGGCTCCTTCATAGAAGCGTCCATGCTTCTTAGGATGACATTATAACAATAATGAGCGTCTAAGAGAAGTGGAAGGGAATTGTACAAAATGTATCTTAAGATTTCAGAGAATTGAAAATAGTGTAAAATTAATGTTTGCAACATCCTTGCAATAATGAGTGCGGTTCAGCTGCCACTAATATTGATCTTGAATTTGAGGCAAATCCCAATATGACACCTCATATTCTGTCACATACTCATTATGAAGGTGACATGTCAGCTTCCCTTCATTTATTAATTTGTCATTATGTTCAAAATTACATGTGGTTAGAAAATAAGTTGATATGTTCTCTCTTTTTTCTTTTTTAACCTTAATTATTTGTTGATCTTGTAGGTGACATCCTTAAAAGACGCAATTGCAAAGAAAGATGAGGAGATTGGAAGGTTGCGGCTGCTTAAAAGTAGTGAAAATGGTGAGAGACCTGGTATGAGCTCACTGAGGTATGGGTCTTCCTCCCCAAGAAGACATTCAGCTTCACAGCAGCCCCGAACACTGTCAAGAAGGAAAAGCTCAGGGCTTATTGAGAAAGCAGCTTCTGATTTGGACAATAGCTCAGAGTATAGTGATAAGCATTCTGAAGCTGGTTCTCAGCAATCAATGGATGATTTTAGACACCACAAGGAATTTTTTCAACATTCAAGGCTTGCTACGGTAGATGGAGGTCTAAATTTTACTGAAGACAATACATCAAGGCTATCTGTAGTAGATGGATGTCAAGATTGTAGTGAAGACATCGAGCTCCTGGGATTTGGAGTTGAAGATTCTGAAGAGAGATTAAGTGACATATCTGATAGTGGTCTTTCCATGGGAACTGAAACTGATGGTTCAATGGGCAGCATTGTGGAGTACACTCTTTTCCCTGAAACTGCAAAGTCACCAGCAGAGAAGTGAGTGTTCTCATTTCCTTAATCTTTTTTTAGTGCTACATTTGTTAAAAAAATAAAAAAATAAATTTTGGTACATGTAGAGCATATAGAATTACCTGGATATTCTGATATCCTTCCCTTTGCAATTTTAATTTTATTTACAGATTTAATTTGTTGCAAAATTCTTTAAATTTCACTGGATTGCACATGCAACGAATATTCTTCATCACAAATCCTATGATGATATCTCCGACAATGGGATAACGCACATGCAACCACTTTCTTTTTTGAAGTCTTGTCGTATTGATACGTCAACTTGATAAATCTCTATTTATTATTCTTTGGCTTGTCTGTTTTTTCAATTTGTTTTGATTTTCGTGGTATGAGTAAACTAGCTCTCTGAATTTGGTATTTGCTTTGACTGCACTGTGGAACTAACTCGACTTCTTGTTGAATGGCTCCGGGGCCCTTTTTAGTTGAGTATGATAACTAACAGGAACTTACCTAACATTTCCTTTTCCTTCTTCGAGAGGTGATTATTTAGTGTAATACAATTATATGATAGGACCATCTCTTTCCATAAATTTTTTTCTTTTTCTTTTTTTTTTTTCTTTTGGGCCATAAAAAAATGAAATCATAAGATTAAGATCTAACCTCATTACTAACCTACTGCATAGAACGCAGCATATGTCACCTAAAATTTCTCTGTTTTATTAGATACGGTCAAAGCTGCTCAAACTTACACTTGGTGACAGAGACTACCGCACTTGTCTTTTGTGTTTTTGCATTTGTGTATGTGCGTCTTAGTATTGTTTACTGTTTTAGTTTGAAAGTCGGATCCATCACTCTGCGTTTGCTACAAAATAAATCTATCAAATTTTCGCTTGGCTGATTGCAGGTCCAATGTGCCAACCAAAATTCCGAAGCCCCCACAGAAGCAGCTGCAAACCAGACCTTCTAGGTTGCCATCAAACAAGACCTTGAAAGGTTCATCAAGTATGTAAAACTAAAGAGCTCCTAGGGCTAATCCTCTGTTTTTAAAAACTTGAATATGTCTTGCATAATTTTTTCTCGTTTCTTACGTTTCTTTAGGCAAATTTAGCAGAATACATACATCAACGTTTCTTTTGTTGATACTCGATCAATGTTCCTCTTTTGTCAAAAATGATTTCTGAAAAACTTCATCCATAGGTCTTTTCGGACCTACAAGTTATTTTCCAGTTCTTGTCAAATAAATATCTGTAAATGGTGAAAAAATGAAGGAAAACACCTTATGTAATATACACACACACACACACACACACACACATATATATTGTGATTAATTTAACAGGAAATGGAGCCATTTGCTAGTTGTGGCCAAACGACTACGACATCAATTTATTGAGTGTTTTACTTGTCACTAATCTTTTTTCCTTCTTCTAATGCTGCTCAGGTTCCAAAAAAACCACTGCCTGCAGCTCGTCTGCAATGAAGCCTGTCAAACGACGGTAGTAATTGGAAGGTGACCTTGTTTGTAACTTGTGTACTGGCATTCCTTTCCCCTGGCCTATATGTGGCCTTTGTTTCATTGAACTCTTGTATCCGAAGAGGTAATTGGAAACTTTAGTATTGATGTATACGGGTTTAGATTATAGTGTAATTTTAGATGATGGGTTTCACCATTTCATTGAACTCTAGTATTGGGAGAGGTATTTGGAAACTAGTATTTATGTATACTGGTTTAAATCAGTGTAATTTTACATGATGGGTTTCACCATTTCATGAACTCTTGTTTTGGGAGAACTCTTGTTTTGGGAGAGGTAATCGGAAACTTTAGTATTCATGTATACTGGTTTAAATCATAGTGTAATTTTACATGATGGGTTTCACCATTTCATGAACTCTTGTATTGGGAGAGGTAATTGGAAACTTTAGTATTAATGCATTCTGGTTTAGATCATATTGTAATTTTACGTGATGGATTTCACCATTTTGTCCATCTGTGTAAACCAAAGGTGCATTTTGAGGCAGCTTCAAAATAGAACGAACTTTCCTGCTGCCACCAGATGGTCCAGATGCTTTTCCAACAAATTATCTGTTATATGATCAAGTAAGTGATTGGTTTAGCTAATGAGAATACAGAAATAAATCTATAATTTACAAGATGTGGTCCACTGTGGCATTAATGTCATTGCATGCTAAAGAAAGGGTCAGCAGTGACATTCTGCTCGATGTCATCACAAGCATTTGTACCATTTCAGACTCGACCTTTCGTTACCATATGTAATGTACTATTTAATATCATCCACTCTTCACAGCATCACAGCTTGTCTGGGTGGTGTAGTCGGTTATCACGCTAGTCTCACACACTAGAGGTCCCCGGTTCGAACCCGGGCTCAGACATTCGTTTTTGTTTCTAACACTATAACAGTAGTACATAGAGACGGAGCCAGGTCCGTTATTATCTTTATAAGCGTAGGCATTTATTTGTAAAATATAACTTTGTGCCCCTTTTGAAATCTATTTTTCTTTTTAAAACCATGAAATTTTTTATACATATATAAGTATATAATTTGTAAAGTATTACTTTGTGTCCGCTTCTGAAATTAATTTATGACCTGGAGGCAGAACTCTAGCTCTAAATCTACTAAAGCAAATAAAATTTCTAACAATTTCTCACTCTCTATGGTACCAGATTAGGACAAAAGATACCATATTTGATGCTACATAAACCCACTTAAACAAACATAAGAGAAAAGACTTACATATATAATAATAATAACATATATATTTTACTTATATATATCAGATAAATGTATAAAAGAAATATAGTAGTCAATTTTAACTCGGCCACGCCTATTAGGGGTTGTAATCAAATAAGTTACTTTCATATTTCCTCAATTCCTCCAATTTGGTAACTTATTAGAGGAATTGAGGAAATACGAAAGTAATTTAAATATTAAATTTCAAGCACTATTTACTAATCTTTTCAAGAAGGAACATTCTTTATAGACCGAGTTTAAAATGGAATGTCCCATGATACGTCTTACATTGCTCAGTGACTTAGGCTCAGTTTGGTAGAATGGAAATGGGAGGAAAGGGAAGGGAAGGTGATGGAGGGTGATTAAAAAATTGTGCTTGAGTAAAATAGGTGGAAGGAAAGGAAAGGAGAGGGAAGGCTTTGGAGGGTTAAGTATAACTTTGTACAGTAATTTGCTTATCCTCCCAAAAATGCGAGGAAATGGAAAGAAAGGGAAGGCAATGGCTAATGGAGAAGTTGTTATGCCAATTTTATCCTCAAGATTATAGTTGATATTAGGACCTTGATGAAAAAAAAGCGCCAAAATTCACAGTTATAATTTCTGACACCAAATTTACCTACACAAAATCAAGGATTTAATTTGCAAAACAAGAATTACAGACCTTGATGAAAAAAAAATTAAAACAAAACCCATACATATAAGTTAGCAGTTGCACAGAGGGGGGGGAAGCTTACAGCGGGCCAGCGGTTGAAACTTGCGAACTCGAACTGGAACATCCGGCTATGGAAACAGTGAACCCGAACTGGAATAGCGGGCGATGGAAACTGAAAGATATGGGTTTTGATTTTTGGAACAATCTAAAACAATATACTGATATGGGTTTTGAACTTTTGATTCTTGCAGACAGATAGATAAACTGAAATATATGGGTTTGGAACTTCTGATTCTTGTAGATTTTGTAGTGTGCAGTTGCAAAGAGGGAGAGTTGGAGAGAGAGAGAGAGAACGAGAATAGAGATGGAGGCGGGGAGGCTAAAATGATTTACCCTAAAAATATTATATATATATTACATACGCTTTGTTTTGTCTTCTTTTTTTTTTTGACAAATATTACATACTTAAATTTATAAATTTTTATTTTAAAATATAAAAAGGTATAAAAGTAAATTTACTAAAATACTTTCCTTTCATTTCTTTTCCCAAACATAATCATTATCATTTCCTTTTTTTTCCTTCATTAACCAACTAACCACGATAGGGGTTAAATTTACCCTTCACTTCCCTTTCCTTTCCCTCGTGACTAATATTATCCTTCCCCTTCAAACCCATAGTACCAAGCATAGCCTTACAAAATATCTTTCTTTTTTTAAAGTTAATTCTCTTTAATATCATTATTTTTTTGTATTTCATAATTTTCGATCTAATTGTTTAAAACCGAACATTCCATGTCAACCCTTATCCTTGCTCTATGAACTTCTGTATTCATTTTTCCATTTAGCATTGCCTTTAAAGGCATTTCTTGGGGTCAATTTGCTTTGAGAGCCAAATGTGAAGCCTGATTGCATTTTGATTGAGCTTATTGATTTTTTTTTTTTTTTCCCAGAAAAATACAAAATAAAAAAAGAGTGTAGCATAAAACTGTACTAGAGTCCACACTATGTTGAGCCAAAAATGTTCTTCAACATAGGCAGTCCTAAGGAAGGTGCACCGCGGGAGCCCAGAATTATCACCTGTTACGCACAAACAACAAAAGACTTCAAAAGGTTATCACATCCAATCTCACCGAAAGATCGTCATCATGGTCAAAAACATCAACCAATCATCAGCTTGCCCCATAATAGTATAATACTTATGGAAGCACAGGATCATCATTCCTCATATAATGTTAGATTTATACAGTACAGTATAGTACACAGTACACACAGTAACTATGTACAATGTATTTTCCACGCAATTTCCTATACCCTGGCTCATGTTAGCACAATCCAATACCCGTGTCTATCCTCTAATAGTACCACACTAAAAAGTAGCCTCACCATTCAGTAATTTGAATTTATGCTCATAATTCTCTCTCTATATAAACCCACCATCTTAAACCCTATCTTCCCTCAGATTTTCTCGAGAAAATGAATGCCAGAAGGCCCAGAACCCTAGGGATATTATCAGTTTCAATTCGTGAACGATCAAATTCATTCAGGTTCGTCAAGTTCTTCTGAGCCCTGATTTCGTGTTCTGTATATGTATATTAGATGTGAGAATTTCTGTTACCCTCCATTTCGTTGCTGATTAAATTATAGTTTTAATTTCTATTCTTTTGAGCAACCAAAAGGAGTACTGGAGAAATTGTTTCCATTGATAATATATGTTCGCTCGAGTCCTAGAGCTAGAGTAAGGGTTTGTGTTTGGTTTAAGCATTGTGGTGTTTTTATAATTTATATGTTTGAATTGAATATGCTTCTTCAAATGAACTACATTACACATATTTCATATATGTTATATAAATGGTGTTGATGGTGTTTGAATTGATAGCTGCTCTTTGGATTTCGAGTTGGATGGACATGTTAAGGTGTTGTTAAGTTTAGATTGGAGTCTGATTGTTGAATATCCTGTTAATTTCAGGGGTCATATATTGCTTATCAGCTTGCTCTATCGCTGTAGATCAGACGGGGCTGGGTCTGGATAATATTGAAGAGGGGAGGAGTTGACTGGTAAATGAATTTATATACATACTCTTTTTTTTTTTTTTTCTTTGGTCCATTTGAAATGTAGGTAGAAGATAGATGTATTGAATTTTAAGGATCATATTTTCCATCTGTTTGCAAACGAAAAAAGAAGACGACAAAGAGTTTACACTGAACTTAAGGAAATGACCTCCACTAGTCACACAACGATTCTATAAGCTTGGTTTAGGTGACTTTATTAATTGATAAAATCCAGTAATGGATATTGTCAAGATGTTTTAACAATTTAGTTGGACACCTTTGAATATTCCCATTTTGGTTGAATTAATCTCTGTAACACCACTTTATTTGCCTTTATCTTTTTGCAATATTTAGTACCAAGCCGAAAGAATGGAGAGGGTTATGTTAGGTTGAAAATGTAAAATTTAAGAATCCAATAATGCATGGTTGGGATTTGAGTAAGACATATCTAGAAAAATTGATGGCAACAATGAATATTAGGAATCACTAAATCCTACATCCACATACATCTTGAGACGCAAATGATAAATCATATGGTTAACAATTTGCCTTTTTTCCCCTTATTTGTGCGTTTTTAATATTTTAAAAACTTTACCACAATAATAATGTCAAAGTTTGTTAATGCATATTTCATTCCTTTACTTAATAAGTTAAATCATAATTTTTATTATTTTAATATATGAGGGTTTATCCATCTGGTGATTTCCTAGATAGAAATTTGCTCTAACTTTTGGCCATCCCCATCTCTTATAGAATCATAGGATTCTAAATGCCATATTATCAGTATTTTCACTATATGGGGTTCAGAATCTTAAGCCTAAAAAACTTGCATAGGCCGAGCAGATTCTGGTATATATAAATATATTCGTTTAGTCTATCAAGGCTTTCTGAGTTTGGCTAACTGCATAGTTATTTGTTGTGATGAGTTGTGCTAGCAAGCTTAATCATTTAGCCTTCAGTTTACCGATTTGAGATGAACAAGTATTTTCTACGTAATTATAGTCTATATTTAACGATTCAATCTGCTACTTCATGCTGCAGTTACTTTTCTGTCTACTATCTGCTTTTTCAAGGATATCCTTGAAATATTTCAGAAAAATGGCTGGATGTAGTCGATCACCTAGAAGTGATCACCCTTCAATCAAATACAGGTGTAACCCACTTGAGGGGGCTGTCTTTGAGCTCACTGATTTTGGTCATAAAGATAATGCCCCCACTCCCTCAGATAACATCAAGCAAAGCAGTAGAAAATCTGAATCCAAATCTTCTGAGATAGTGAGCACGGGTGAGCTTATCTCAGCAGTTTGCCAGATATGGGATCGCGTGAGTCATTCTCTTACTTTTCTCCAACATAAAACTAATTTGGAGCACAATGACGGTGAGTTTCAGAACGGCAAAATATTGTCTTATCCTGGTGGACAAGGAAACAGCACAGCCCCAACATCAGCTGAGAGTCAATACTTCTCTGTTGATCTGATGACTGCTTCTCCACCATCAGTGCAAGCAGACTTGGAGAGTCTGAAGGTAACACCAAAAATGCCATTCTTTGGATACCATATTGGAAACCACACACATTCTCTTTTCTGGAGATTTCTGCAGGATGGATCTGACAAGCTGAATAAGCCTTGGAAGGAAAAGAGGCTTGCAAAGGTAGTCTCACATGATTTAGAAAATACCTATGGATGGATGGGTAAAATAACACTTCCTGGACTGAAACATCTCACAATCCACCCACAGATAGAGAATGAGAAAGCTGTTGAAAGTTGCATTCTTCGAGATGCAAATGGTCCTGCAAGTCCCCATATTTCAGGCAATGCAACTAGCTTTGCTAATAATTTGATCAGTGGAAGTGTTGACTGCCATACTAAAACAACCAAATGTATAGATTCGTCATCAGGTCAAGATGCAAAAATTTCAATGAATACTAGCTCCTCTGTTACCTCTATGTACTCCGATTATGTTCTTGGGCCTGTCCAAGATACAGAAGCAAATGATATTATCTCTAGGACCCAATGTTCTAGACTTCTTGCAGAACACTATGTCAACCACTTATCTTCAAGTAGTTTTGCTTTTGTAGATTGCCAAAGCAAAACCAAGGATGATCACCTGCATGAGAACAAAAGAAAGCAACAAATGGATTTCATTGAGGATGAACCAAAGATGGAGATTTGCTTGTCAACAAAGGATAAACCTCATATTGCTCTTGCAAAGCAAGAACATGCTTTTGCAGGAGCAATGGCTGGGGTATTTGTTAGCCTTTGTTTACATCCTGTGGATACAATTAAGACTGTCATACAGTCGTGTCGAACTGATCAGAAATCTATCCATAACATTGGCAGATCAATTGTTACTGAAAGAGGTATTTTGCTTTACAATTACTACAGATCACTGAGCTTAGTAGAAGGCCTCAACTTTTTTTGCTTTTGCTTTTTGGATAACAATAGGTCTTTATGTTGTGTAACCTCATTAGCTTGTTTGAATGGCCCTGTGAAAATTGGTCTGGATTTTGCCTTTAGGTGTAACAGGACTTTATCGTGGAATTGCCAGCAATATTGCTTCCTCAGCACCAATTTCTGCAGTTTACACATTCACATATGAATCAGTGAAGGGAGCTCTGCTTCCTCTTTTTCCTAAGGTAATTTGTTCTATATTTTGTTCCATACAACTTTTCTTTGTTCCCTTTGGACTCTTTATGTGCGCGCGCGTGCACGAATGTTTATCTGGCTGACTGGCTCTCTCACACACATATATTTACTTAAATTTATTTTTTTCTCATATCGGTTGGGTTGTGGTGGAGGAAAAAAGTTGGTAAAACAGGTTTTTGGGACCCGAAGTGTTGATATATAGAATTTTATTGCATGCATAGTTGTTCGAAGTGGTATGCTCCCTCCCTGTCTTGGCAGAAGTCTGACCCAGTTCTTCAATGCAGGAGTATCATTCTTTTGCCCATTGCATGGCCGGTGGTTGTGCAAGTATCGCTACTTCCTTTATTTTCACTCCAAGTGAGCGGATAAAGCAGCAGATGCAAGTTGGTTCGCATTATCAAAACTGCTGGTATAACTTCATAATCCTGGTATTATCTTTAAAATATCAAAAGCCCAACAATGCTCGTTGCTTGATATGCAATATGTTTGATCTTGTGCCTATTTGAAATTATATGGATAACTGGTGGAATGATGCTATTGTACGGAAAAAGCTTCGCAAATGTCCAATTAGAGCACTCTCAAGTTTTTGTCACTAAAAAGTTAATTAAGGTAAATTCTTAGTTAACGTATCCAAGTGTATCGACTATCAACTAGGAGATAAGTGCACATTTACTACTTAACTACCTAATATTTGCAGACTTCTGTTAATAGATTTTTTGGATCCTTCATAATTTCCCCTTTACTACCTTTCACCTTTCAATAATTTCCTAGTGATCACAGATCTTGATGGGATAAGGTTATTACTGGTTTAATCGGTTCAATTTTCTGTTCTTGAGATCCTATTGGTGGAATTATTATATCTCTTGAAATGTGAGTGTTTTGCTTTGCATTTCAAGTTGTGACATGAAGGGTTCTGTATATGATAAGTATGAATTTTGATTATGGCACAGTTCTCAAATGAGATTTCTGTTTTGTCTATGTGTGTCTTTGCAGGATTGCACTGGTTGGGATTGTTGAAAAAGGTGGTTTGCCTTCTTTGTACGCTGGGTGGGGGGCTGTCCTCTGCAGGAATGTTCCACACTCTATCATCAAGGTTAGGTGAATATTACACCTATATTAAGGTCATTATATAAGTTAATTTTTATCCCCCCAAATTCATATTTTTAATAGCCTCTCTTTATCCATCAATTGATTTTTTAGGTTATGTTTTCCATTGCAGTTCTACACATATGAAAGGTTGAAGCAATTGATGGTACCATCGCTACAACCAAATGTTCAACCCAGCACATTACAAACGGTATGTTTGTTGTCTGAGTATCTCTCTCTTCACCACAGTATATTATTAACTCAGTTCTTACTGTAATTTCTGTTAGCATATTATTTTTAGTGTGAATAGTTGTTGATGCTTCTTATAAGAACATCATCATTATTATTATTTTTTTTCCTAGTTGGTACTCACACACACATTCCTCCACTGAGGATCGAACTCCTGACCTCTCTTTGAGAAGTAGGGGCTTGGTATCGCTGGGCCACTGGCCTGTTGGTAAGAACATCATCATTATGAAAACAGGTGCCAATCAAATGTTGCTTGGTTCGAGACTTGTGATCTTTTTTCCAATCAGATGTAGCAATAAGCTAAGATTTTTTTTTATTTTTTTATTTTTTCCATCTTTACAGCTAGTTTGTGGAGGATTAGCTGGATCCACTGCTGCTTTATTTACTACTCCTTTTGATGTGGTGAAGACTAGATTACAGACACAGGTTTGTAATTCTTGTGTTTATTCTTTCATTCGTCACTTCATGTGGTCCTTCACTAAGATTGGCCAGCTAAGCTAAAAGGGTTGTGTTTAAAGACTGTAAATTGAACTATGCATTGACATCGTTATTCCAGTCCTTGGAACTGCTTTCTGAGAGAACAATGAAGAATTGTTAATTGCTGTAACTAAATAAAATTGTCTACTAGAATTGAATTCAAGATGACTATGTTGCTGGTAGATTTTTCAATAAGATTATAGTTTTTGTCAAGAATGGTGCTTTGACATGTCAAACGTCTAGTCTGTAAATGCGAAATGTTAAAGACTTTTAAGCCTGGCTGCCTGTCTCATTTTTCTTACCGCGGACAATTTTAGTTTAGGAAAAAAAACAATTAGATTATATATATGGTTATGTAGTTTGAATTGTATGATAATTTTTCTTCCCCTGTTTTAGAATTTTCTTTATCATAGGATATGGTTTGTAATGCTTCTTATAAAGGGCCTGTTTGGCAGATTCCTGGATCTGTGAGCCAATATGGTGGTGCATTGAACACCCTTAAGCAAATAGCCAAGCATGAAGGCCTGAGAGGACTCTACAGGTGAGGATCTGGAGAGATTGTGGGGATTTTTTGCATAATTTTTCCCATATGTTGTCTTTCTGTTTAGGGGCCATCGCTTTGTGAAGTGCAGAAAGTTCATGCTGCTTAGTGTTAAAGCTCCCATATAGAGGCAGTAGGTTAAGTTTCTGCTTGTGATTAAGAAATGATGATTACTAAACTTGTTTTTGTCACCAGGGGCCTGACTCCAAGACTAGTTATGTACATGTCCCAAGGAGCGCTGTTCTTTGCATCATATGAAACTTTCAAGAGGTTATATTGTCTGGATGTGTCACAACAAAATTCTCAAGGAATCCAGAATGAACAATACACGGAGAATGATTCGAAATCACCATTATTATCATCACAATCACCATTGTCATCAGCACCGCCACCAAGGCTTCACGGTTTGGATTCATAATCAGCTGGGAGCAGATATCTAGAGATCTCAAAAAGGACATGGAGGGAGAAATCCAGTTCGTTAATTTATTTGGAAGAGCCTCTTATTCGAAGACGGCACAGCCTAACACATTTGAGTGACCCTGATTCATTAGTGACTGACCAATTTTTATTGGTGTTACCATTTAATTAGACTTTGTTAGCTAGGAGAGGAAAGCAAAAGTAGTAAAATGATCGAATGAGCACTGGTGGATATCACCTGTATTATTTTGATTGTATCATTGATTATGTATTGTGGAAATGTAATATAATGTGAATAAAGGGCCTTGTTACCCCAAAATGACCTGTCAGAAGATTTAAAGCAATTGACATTCTTTCAATGGCAAGGAATTTTGCTACATTAGGACTGTTATGGTTAGGGTTTTCATTCATCTGGGGATTGTTTATTTGCTCTGTTTTCTGTCATTAGGTCATCAATATGCAAATATAAGTCATTCTTGTAAATCCACCCAATCAAGCCCAAGTCAACTCAGCCACCATGCAAAAATAAAAGCCCAAGTCAAATAAGTCCAGGGCCGGCCCTGACCCTAGGCGACGAAGGCGGTCGCCTAGGGCCTCTATATATAATCTCGTTCTCAACTCTGAACCGCCTCAACTCTCAACTTGCCCTCTTTCTCTCCGACTGCAAACTATAAAATCTAGAACTCTGAACCGCCTCAACTCTGAACTTGCCCTCTCTCTCTCTGCGACTGCAAACTATAAAATCTAGAACTCTCTGAACCTCTCTCTCTGCGACTGCAAACTATAAAATCTAGAACAATAGAACTCCGACTGCAACCTATAAAATCTAGAACAAGGAAATGATGGAGAACAACCAAGCCTGTGGTCTAGCGGTACCAACCCTTACTTGTGGTCTAGCGGTACCAATCCCTACTTCTCAAAGGGAGGTCAGGGTTCGAACTTCAGTGATGTGTGTGTGAGTACCAACTAGAAAAAAAAAAAAAATGATGGAGAACAGAAAGGAGATGAAGAAAGGCATGGGGCGCAGAAAGGTGGAAATGAAGAAGATAGAGAAGAACAAGTCTGATGGTGTCTTTCTCCAAACGCAGTGGAGGATTGTTCAAGAAGGCTACTCAGCTAAGTGCGTTGTGTGGTGCAGATGTTGCGGTGGTCGTCAAGTCCCCCTCCGCCTGGAGGATTCATTGCTTCGCAAAAATAGGACATCCAACTAGAAACAGTGCCTAGCTGATGTGACATACACAGTGCAATGTATGATGAGGCGCAGAGAACAAGATTGGGTTGAAAATGTGGGCTAGCAGATCACTAGGCCCATGTGACTGCCCCACCAGCCCATCCATGTGATTTTGATATTGTAGAAGTTGGTATTGTATAGAGAATCCTGTCAGTTTAAAGTCACTTCTATGTTTTATTATTCATGTAGATGACAAACACTTAGTTCGAATTTGACCAATTGGGATATCTCAAACAATTTATTTATTTATTTTTTAAATCCAAGTGGATTCAATTTCTGTATTCTTTCTAGATTCAAGGAGTAACCATGGAATCACCCAAAAAAAAAAAAAAAAGTGAATAGAGTCATAGGTTCCATACCTGTAATAGAACTCATGTTTAATAGAAATATTAGATCCACGAATGAGATGGGTTCTAACAATTCATAGATGAAAATATGGCAAAAATAAATAAATAAATAAAACATTCACTCTCCTTAATATCTCCCTAATATCATGACGCTACTTTCTTTTTCTTTTTGTTATTTCATGTTAATGATGATTTATGATCTAAGTCACATAAAGCGAAAGCGCACTCGGAATATAAGAGCGACACCGTTAAGAAGGATTGTACGACTTAATTAAAACTATTAATCTACAAACTTGACATTTGATATATCTCATGGGTAAGGAAACATTTTAATAGTTTGCTCCAAACCCAAATTGGGATTTCATTCAATTCCTTTGCTTGTCCTTTTCCTATTTCACTCCCGCGAGAGGATTTGATTCCAAATTCACATTACTCTTTGGATGCGTTCGGTTACACGGAATTAAAGTTTTAAAATTAAAATTTGTGAAATTTAAAAAAAAAAAAAAACAACTCACAAAATTAAATCAAATTTTTTTTCAAATTCAATTCCATACAACCATACACAGCTTTAACTAAATTAGATTATGAGAAACAAATAAAAATCTTAGGATATTACTTTACATGTTAATATTAAAGGGAGTAGTTTTGGATAAATTAGAACTAATGAACTCTATTTCAAAATCCAAACCCATTAGCCTGTTATATAGTTACATGTCCAAAACAAATGGAGGTGTTAATTGGGTTGTCAGAAGTTCAAAATCAATTGATCTATTTTCTGGTGTGTTTGGTTCGTAAAGAAGTTAAATTTATTGATGCATAGTTGTTGAACATCAAAGTCGTTGTAGTATAGTGGTAAGTATTCCCGCCTGTCACGCGGGTGACCCGGGTTCGATCCCCGGCAACGGCGATTATAATTTTTTTTTTGGACTGTATTTGTGCGTGTATCCAATATATATGTAGTCATCCAATTTCTACAAGGTATAAAGAATAGAATTCCATGTTTGTTGAAATATTAGCTAAAATATTTAGAGGTTCAATACAAAATTAAAAACATGTTTTGTGTCTAGCCAAAAACACGCACGAGTACTGGGTAATCTAGTTAGTGAAAGTACAAGTCAATTCACAACTGACAAAGTCATTAGACATGTAGATTCACAACTTAAACAGAATGATCCATGCGTGATTGTTCAATTACTTGATAACTCCATGTGTTAGGAGCTGATGATACCTATACATATAAATCACATATATAGCATGGACAACCATAACAATAATAAAATTACAGCTTCGCTTCTTAAAGAGCCTTCTCACAATGCGCTCATGGCACCTGTTTTAAAAATCACATCACTTTGCTGCTTCATCACAGCAGCAAAACACATTTTCACATAGTAACTCTTTGCTAGCACTTGGAACATCACGTCAAACCACACTAATGAATGGGTAATTAATAGTACCAAAGACAATAACATCATGTCAAACCACACTAATGATTGGCTCCCCACAATGTGCTCGTGGGACGACGCTGCCACAGCTACCAACTAGAATGTGTATTTCTGCATATCATCAGTTGCAACCAGAGGTACAAAATCAGAATTCTGTCTAGGTAATCAATCACCCAGAGATTCAACTGCTCTGACTCTTTTAAGTTGCTGAATGCCTATACTACTATTAGATGATTAAAACAAGTTGGACTGAATTTTTTTTTACAAGGTAACAACATAAAACAAGAGATACGATTTACAATATACAAAAAGAAAACTAGTGGCAGAATAACTGCAGCTAAACTTAGTTGGCATTTTTAGCAATTGCAGAACTGTCTAGAGTTTTAGGCTGCTTAAATGATTTCTGCGTCTCCAAATCTTCGGTTGCTTTTCTGGAAACATCACCAGCTGATTTCTGAACCCCTACTTGGCTCATTGCAGAACTGTCCTCAATTTTAGGCTTGTTAAATGATTTCTGGGAATCCAAGACCGGCATGTTATCTTCAGTCGTCTTTTTGAAAACATCAGCGGCTGATTTCTCAGATTCACGGGGGCTCACCAACTTCTTCTCAACATCTTCAAACTTGGCAGTGGCCCATGGTGCAGTGCCTACGCTCTTTGCAGAACTTGGTCCGTCTATTGTCAATGTAGATACCTCATCTCTGGAGGCATACCACGTATTACCGCAAGCAATACACTCTAACTGAAACCACAGCACCAAAAAATAAAAAATAAAAATATATGAATAAGATGGTCAATGGAAACTCAGACAGATGCTATTACAGTTGTCACTAAATAAATTTAAAACTACTTAGAATTAAGATTTTTCACTAAAATGTGTGGACCACTGAAACAAACAACTGAACCTTTGCAAATAAGAAGTTCGCATTCAAATCTCTCTAAGCTTCTACCAGAAAATTTCTAACTGGAATTTCAAAAAATATTTTGTTTGTACTTTCTAGATCATGATAGTCGTCTAGATGCATCTGAGTGATATACAAGTTCCAATCTAAGCAACAACTAGACTCTTACATGTAAAACACAAAAGAAAATGATATTAATAAAATCATCTTGACAACAAGACTATTTGATCTAATAAAATCAAGCCATTAAACCAGGAACAACTTCACCAATTGAAACCACAACCTGCAAACCAGAAGCCTTTTCGAGGCGAGAAACTAATGATCCAAAAAAACCAAACAAAATTCTCTTAGCATGCAATCCAGTTGTTTAATGTGACCTATTCAAATGTTGCCACGAGTTTTAAAGCACAAAAACAAGGAAAACCAATAACAATAATCATGTTGGGCATTACAAAGAAGTCCTACTTTTTCTTCTACAAGACCATCAAATTTATCAATGAATAAACCTACTAATATTTGTATTCATTGATAGCAGTTGATGGCCTTATAAAAGACTACTCTTTTGTAATTTTTCCAAAAGAAAATGACTTGATGACTCTTGATATTTATTCTACCTCTCATCAATACCATCAAAGTACCAAAGGTCACACATTCTAAAATCATGTTGGGCATTTAAAAGAAGAAGAAAAAAAAAAAAAAAAAAAAAAAAAAAAAAAAAAAAAAAAAATCCACATTTTCAATGTGCAAATTCATGTATTTGGCAATTTTTTACAGGTTATATAATCAACTTAATTAAGCAAAGTCTTGTCCCAATTATTTGAGGTCAGCATATTAATCATGTTCAACTGTTCTGCTCTAAAGCCATAGCATTAGTTAAACAATACACCATCATATCTTTCTCCACTGTTACAAAACATGTAAACTATGATTTTTCCCCCCTACCCCTAACACTATGGGGCCAATGTCATTTTTTCTCAGTGGTGTAGTCATAGGTCTCTGATGCATGTGATCAAACCTCTTAATAGATTTTCAAAACATTTTATCTCCATTTAGGTGATACTTCAACCATTTCACAGATGTAATTACTTTTACGTGTTACATTATAACATTCAATTTTACAATGTTTTATAATTTATGACCCTTTGTCGACATATAACAAAGCCATACTACAATCGCTTTATTATCAATCAAATTTGAGTTGAGGAGAGCGAAAATTTTGAACTCTTCTAAACATGCATCAATAGACCCATGTGGTAAATGCATATATTTTTTTTCCTAGTTGATACTCACACACACTTGTCTCTTCTGAGACTTGAACCCCTGACCTCCCTTTGGGAAGTAAGAGACTGATACCGCTAGGCCACTGCCCGTTGGTATGTAGTAAATGTATATGTTTCATGAATGCATGAAGAAATACAAGCTAACCAATTAACTATTTCCGTGATAAATAGCAAAAACTTGCCAACAGAAAGAAAACTCATATACTTCATTAATATTTGTTAATTTGTTGTCATTGAGCTTCATCCACTCATTCTTCCACTATTCTCATGTCTTTGAACTCTCTATTTTCCTGGGACTTGGTAAGCAATACCAACAAGCCAAATACTGCTCATTCTACAGGTTCATTTAACAATCATGGAGCTATTGAGAGGCTGACCAATATGTAGACCAAACTACTTGATTAAGAGAGAGAACATCAATTCTCTTTTTCCTTTTTCTTTTTCCCTTCCTCTTTGGGTCCGGATGCAAATAGTGAATGGTACAATAAGAGAGCTACTACCCTCCCCCTCCCTTCAAAGATAACCATACCCCTACCAATTTCAGGAGAGTAAATTACACGCCTTATGCAAATACACCAACCACTCCAGATTCTTATTTTATGCACATTACAAGTTAGACCGAGAACCGGTGAACACATCCATTTGAGTGATTTGACATTTGATATTACCAATTTCTATTTTATACTAGACTATTTAGTTTATTTAAAATAAAAATAAAAATAGAAAAGAAAAAATGGTATGAAGAACTACCAAGTTGATGCTAGATATCTTTGTTTTGAATCCCTGGCAGATTCCCAGATTTTTCTATTCATTATTTTTTAGATTTTTTTTGGAAGATTTGTCTTATTAGAGGGAGTCAAGGTTTTCGGCTCCTCAATTCTGCAAATGTTCATTAGTTTTAGGATCCTGCATATAATTCTCTTCAATATCAAAATAGTAGAGACATCCATTTTGTGCAGTAACAAACCTTTTAAGAACAATGCTTATACATCATTGATGTCAATGTGAGAAGGTCAAAATGATATGCCACTTGCATGTTACATCTATCCATCTTATGAAGAGTTCATGCTAATGATATTAGATATTAGCAGATGATTGCATTCATTGCAACTTATTCAAACTAATCATGGCAGGTAATAAAAGAAAGAATACGAAACCTGATAACGATCTCCATGTCCAGCTTGGATAATGTCTAATAGACCCACTTTTTTCTCCTTGCATCTTTTGCAGCGAGCATCAGTCATCTGTTTCACAAACCATACAATAAGCTGACCACAAATCTAGTGCATAAAATAAAATAACAAAGCCCAAAGATAAAACTTATGTTATGTGGGACAATGCAGTCAAGACTCAAGACTAAGGCTTTGTTGAGTTGAGTATGTAGGGCAATGCTGCCAAGACCAAGGCTTTGTTGAGTTGAGTGTGTAGGGCAATGCTGCCAAGACCAAGGCTTTGTTGAGTTGAGTGTGTAGGGCAATGCTGCCAAGACTAAGGCTTTGTTGAGTTGAGTATGTAGCACTTCTTCCAATCATCATGTGGCACCCATGCCCAACGGACGGGATCCCACCATCATTAAACCATATCATAGTTTTTTAGTTTAAGTTTGGACACACGATGAAATTGCATCTCATTTCATTTTGAAATGAAGAAGAACGAATCAGTTTGCCATTCAGTTAGGAAATTTGTTATAATTATTACTTTTTTCTTTATGTTACTCTACAGCTCTTCCATCTGCTACTTTCCTTACAGAGCTGATAGAGAGGCATGTCTCAAGAGAAAAGGCAACTTGTCTTATATGACATGACCTGTCAATAGAAATTCTTCAACACTCCACCTTTGTCATATATTCCATACATCATCCTAGATATGCTATTCCAACATATCTTTGAAAAGGGCCAATCTCGTATCAACATGGAAACACTCCTGAAATATTTAACCATGTCCTATTTTAAGACAGTTTCTGCATCAAACACCCTAGTCGAATGTGATACAAATGTTTGTTTCACATATCACAAAATAAGACCAAACAGGGGGTAAAATTGACCTGCATCCGCTCTGACTCTTCAGGCTCCTTGCTTGCTATCTCTTCTGCTGTTAAACCCTCCTGGAAGTATAAATAAATAAATAGAAGTTGATTTTTTTTTTTCTGCTGGTGCCAAGTCCAAATCCAAGAAAGTATAAACAAATAAAAGATGCAAAATGATAGAGAATCATTAATGATGGATTAGTAGCAGGCCAATTAGACCCACAAATCACAATAACTTGATCAGTAACAAACACTTCCGATACAGTCATGGTCTATGTTGCTGCAAACACCAAATGTCATGAGGTCAAAGCAATGTCGAACTGTTGGAAGTGCAAACTCTTCAAGACTAAGAAATATCAGATGCTCACACTTGACTTCTACCAGCGTTATAGAAGATGAAGGAGAAGGCCAAAAAAGAGTGTTTCTCTTTTTTTCCCTTCATATCTCTCTGTGCATGTGAATATGTGTGTTTTCCGTAGTTTATATTTCATTTTTTGGTGCAGGTGGTTGTGACGAGGGACAGGTGCTTGGAGTGCTGAATCCAATACAAATCTTTTTGTGTTCACAAATTTAAGGAACATGCATAAATGGTCAAGATACTAACATTTAGCAGAGCTAAGGTACATATAATTCGCTAAATTCATTTACCGTGCAGAGACGCTTTGGCTAAGGGAATAAAAAAATTGGCTGCCAACAAACAGGCAAAAGACGAGTTTGAACAGGATTTAATATATTTCATGTATTTTCATATGCTATTAAATCTTGATGTCTTTTTTCCATTTGGGCCTTCATGGAATTTTTACATGTTTGACATGTACAAACTAAATTTTCAGTCTATATTAAAATTCACTACAGGTCCTTACTCCTTCCTATTCAGACGGAATTACTGTTACGTACAACATTTCAAAGTTACAAAATTGCCAGAAATTACCAGTTCACCCAGAAATCAGTGATATAAAATCTGTCTTCCATTTTCCTCTACAAACCGTCCACATCATAAAACCAAAACTGTGGTAATAGGCAGCAAATCCTCTTTATCAATTCTATAAATGTAATTTGAAAAGAATCACAAGAGCACAAAAGGAGTAGGAAGAAGAAGGGGGAAAAAAAGTTGCACCCATAAAGATCATCAACAGTCCTGATACCTACCAAAACAATAAAGAAATCCCCACATTAAGTCCCCTGAAGGGACAAACCCAAAGAAAAGAGTCAAAAAGAATTTTAAAGCCAAAGGGCTACCTAAGATCCCATTGAAAATTTTCATTCTTTATAATATAGAACCACATCTTTCCAATTCATTCTAACTCAAAATAACATATATTATGAGTATAAAATATGTCATAAGTCACCAACTTCAGAAGGAATTACAGAAGCATAGAACTTTCACAAGCCATGTCTTACACTAAAAAAGAAAAAAAGTCAATTCCAGGAATAGAAACATATGATAGAAACCATACCTTTAATTCATTAGGTGACATGTTCAGTATTTTTGAAGGTTCCAACTCTCCATTCAATAAACGTCCAGCTAACATTTTATTGTTCTGCAAAGATGTAGACCGCAGAAGAAAAAAAATAGAAAAGGAAAATCAGAACAAAAAAAATAATAATAAAGAAAGAAAAATAGAGGATGTCAACGCCTTAGAAAGAAAAATAGAGTATGTCAACGCCTTCACACTAGGAAAATGAGATTTGTGACAGTTAATAGTTATACTACAGCTACTTTTTTTCCCCTGAAATCAATCTAAACACCTAAAGTTATCTTCCTTGACAGCTCTTTCAATTAAAGACCAAAAGCTTTCTAGCTTTTAGTAACATGAAAAAAGCTTGTCAAGTTCATTTGTGCTATAAGAGTATCGCCTTGCTGCAAAGGTCTCTTGATATTAGAAGTCTGCTCCTCTGTATATCCCAATAGCATCATATGAGTTATAAGAAAACTGAAGATTCCTATGAATGAGAAACTAGGAGGTTAAAGAGGTAGTTTGAACGAGTCTGTTTGTTTATTTTATACATAGTCAACCTCACTGATACTAAAGCAGTAAAATTCAAAAACAATTATTTCAGTAATGATGAGTTATAAGAAAACTGAAGATTCCTATGAATGAGAAACTAGGATGTTAAACAGGTAGTTTGAACCAGTCTGTTTGTTTATTTTATACATAGTCAACCTCACTTATACTAAAGCAGTAAAATTCAAAAACAATTATTTCAGTAATGCAGGGTCATCCATATTCACAATGGACATGCAAAAACTATCTAACCTTAAGGTTGAACATCAGCTGCCGCATCTTTTGGTTATACTTCAGAAAATCAGAGGAAAGGGCTTCATGTGAGGCCTTCTCAAGAGCAGCTACAGCAGGAACAGCGGCATCTGGCCAGATAAAAGATGTGCTACCCTGTAAAATGCAATATAAGAGACATCTCATTAAATACCTTTGGTCTTTTACTTCCAAATTTCAATATCTCTTCTCATTATTTAACAGGTTTGACATTGATTTTTCCACAATCCACGATGAGCATGACCCAATCAGATAAAAGATCTCATACTTACTTTTAGCTTCTTTTCTTGAGATCCATTTGCAGTTTTTGTGCAATTACTGTAACTGGCATGATCAATGCTGTGAGATCCACGTTTTTCTTTATCATCACTCTGCCCATTTTCCACGGGAGTGCATATAAACTGAATTCCTTGAAGAAGCTTTTCTAACCATTTGTCACGTTGAGTTTCACCAGTTAGAACCTTGAAGTTTGCTAAAATGGTGTAGTACTCCGAGGTATTGCTTGTAACACTTCCTGGCGTTTCTGCTCTCATGGATTGACCAGACCTAGTTGTTGCTTCATCCTCCCTTGAAACATCAAGAGGTGACATGTTCTTTTTCCTGAGCAGTCTTTTATTCTTCAACTGATCTTCCTGATCAGCAGCGGAATCTTCAGGCTCAACATCAGGAAGATCCCCTAATCGAGATGAAGTTTTATGAATAAGAACATCGAGTTCATTCTGTTTGCTGTCTTCATAGTCTTTATCAGTTAGCTTAAACAGTCTCCTTTGTTCTGTGTCATACACCTTTTGCACAATAAAACCAGGATGCTGTTTACGCCTCGGAATCTGCTTGTTTAAAGGTATAAAGTGCACCACACACCTGTGCATCACAGATTCTGCTGGAACCTCATCACGGTGGAAACTGTAGAACAGCTCTCTCGTATCACGCGATTGCCAATTTCCACCTCCTCTTTTCTCTGCCTCCTCGGGACGATAAAACCACTGTCCAGTTACCATCAAGCCCCCATTTTTGGTCCGAGAAATATCCTGTGAACAGAAAACAAAGAAGCAATGAGAAAGAATACTCGCACCAAAGAAAAGTAAATGTCAGTATTTGAAACCCATCACTTGAAAGTGAAGTGTAACAAATCCATAACATAGCCAGTCTTGTTAAAAAGTCTCAAATTTATGCAAATCCAACCACAGAAGAACCTCCAGATGTTCTAACTATAGATATGAAACACCTCAAACATAAAAAGGTCAGAGTACTTGTATGCAAAACAGCAAAAAGTTCATCCTTTAAATATTTGAATTTTTTAAAACAGACATTAAAGTATAAACAGACCGCCCCAAAACTCATCCCAAGAGAAATATACATGCGCTGGAGTGAAAAAAGAGATTAAGGGTAGTACTCAAAAGAAATGCCCCGCAGCCATAAACACGGGACCTGTTTGGTTCAGTTTGCTGAAAACATTTCTCAAGAACACAAGAGAACTATGGATGATTGTTCTCTAAAAACAGGTCTTTTATTGAGTTTTCAGAAAACTGTCAACCAAACAAATTTTTGTACTGTTTTCTGATTTTTGGTTCTCTGAAAACAGAAAAGTAACCAAACAGGCCCTCAATTTCCCTGAGCTTGCACCACTTAGAAAAAAGGGAAAATATATATATTTTTACACGCGCTTTCTAAACCTAAACCAAGAAGCATATGTAACAAAACAGGCCTTCAATTTCCCTGAGCTAGCACAACTTTACATTTAACTCATAATAATTTCACTAACACCCCCTCAGGTTTGGTCAAATATCACATTGAAACATCTTTCGAAAATTACTATCACTTAGGTCCAATTACTTTTTCGTCATTGACACCATTAAGAATGAGTGAAAAGACAACTTTGCCCATTTGTTTCTTTTTCTAAAATTCATACATTGTCTCTTCTGCACACTTGCACCACCGCCATCCCACCTCCACAAGTACCACAACCACCACTACCACCACTTTGTATCTGACAAATGAATCTCAGCCACCACCATCATCCCCACCCCACAACCACTGTTTTAAGTGTATATTTTACAATATATGTACATAATATATATATATATATATATATATATATATATATATATATATATATATATACACATACATACATACATATCATTGTGAAGTCGGACGCAATCGGTGAGGACAGAGAGGATGATGGGAAACGGTGGAGCTGCGCCGTCTGAGGGGTGGTGGTGCTTCTCTGAGGTGTGGATCTGCTGGGCATTATTGGTGGTGGTAATTAATCGGGACATTGGTACTTCAATTGACACAACTATATCTTGGATTACAAAATTGCCGGTTGGGAGGTACAGGTGGTGGTTCACTGGAATGGAGGGGTTCGCCGGTGAGTGGTGGCGCTGGTGATGGGTTTTAACTTTGTGAACAATTTATTCACAATTTCACACTCTCTCTATTGGTTCTTTAGGAGATCCGTCATCTGAGGTTTTTAGATGAAGCTGTTAGAAGAAGTCATACCTATTTTGGCTTTTTGCTTTTGTTAGAACATTTATATGTAAATATAAATTTATGTAGGGGTCAGATTGTAATTATATATAGGGTTTGTGGCCATTATGCAAATAGGCCTTTCTTGTATTTTATATATACCCTTTTATGTTTAGGGTTAAAGAAATAATAAGAATCAGAGGGCTGTGCCTCTCTTATCTCTGCTCTCTCATATCAATCTGCTCTCTCTCTCTCTCTTGAATTGTATCTATTTCACATGGTATCAGAGCGACGATCATTGTCGTTGCCTCTATGAGTTGGGTAATCCTTGGCTAGGGTGTGTACTAGCTTCGAGAGAGATCCGATTCGTGAGGCTGTCCTTGCTGTCAGGTGATTCACTGTTGATCACTGATCTCTTGCTTCGAACTAGTCCCTTGGTCGCTGATTGTTGCTCTTTTCTTCATCAACGACTGTCTGCGTTGTTGTCGCCTGTGTCGATTGATTGTGTAGTCGCCATTTGCGACTGTTTTTGTGGTCGGCTTCTTCGTTTGGGGCTTACAACGTTCATGAGTTGGTCCTTTGGTATCACCAAGAGGTCGCTGTAGTCTTCTTGTTGTTAAGTCGTAGTTTGGGACTTAAGGTGAAGAAGAAGAGGGGTGATTGGCTTCGGGTTTTGGGGTGTTTGGCCACAGAAGTTGGGTTAGTCCAGACCGGCTTTCCCCCAACCCAGTTTTGCAGAGACCCGATTACAGATCCGACCCGATTTGATATCCGATTTGAGGTTCGACCCAAATCCTTTTCTGATCCGGGTCTGGCTTGACCCTGTTTTTTCCCGATCCGGGTCTGTTCTGTTCTGCTTTCTTTCTTCCTGCATTGTTCGGTTCTTCCTCTGCTCCCGATTCGGTTCTATTCTGGCCTTCTCTGATTTAGCAGTTTTTTTTTTTTTTTGGTTTCTCTTTGGTTCTTCTCGGGACAGATTTGGCATCAGTGTGACTTTAACTTGGGACATATAAGTTCTTTTCAGTTTACATATACATTTAGGCTCTGTTTGGGGGAGCTTCTTGATCTTCAAAATCCTTCCACTTAATGGGCTTTGCAAAATGCATTTTAATGGAAGGAATTTAAAGAAAAAAAGTTGTTTGGTGGATGTATTTTTAAAAAAATTCTTTTGACTAAACACAATTTAACTTGACAATTTTATCCTTAATTATCATGAATAGTACAAATGTGATAGCATAGTTGAATTAATTGGGATTTAGCAAGGAAAAAAAAAATGAAAAAAAGATAATTAGAGTAATGGAGTGAAAATCAGAGATGATGGAGCAATAATTAATTGGCACATCAATGTTGTTCATACTTTTATTGTAGATACATTGATGACAAAGTGAAGATCACCATTACTGATAAAGTGAAGATCAACGTACACATATCAATAGAAGTTGAGGGGAAAAAAATAAAACGGCGAGAGAAATTGTAGCAGTTTAGCATAATTATTCAAACTGACTTTCATTCTTATTTCTAGTTATATTAAAACCCTAACTTGATACGTAAAACAAAAGAGAGATCTTAAAAAAATCTATTTTATATATATATATATATATATATTGAGAGTTAGAAACGTTGTTCAGAATTCTATGGGGAGTTAAACTTTTTTGGATTTTTCGATGAGAGTTCAGATATCTTTATAACTCTTTTGCTCCTTGATTAATCAATAGGAAATTTTTTCTGCTCTTTCCTTTTAAAATAAGGATAAAATTGTATAAAAATTGTTACTTAAAATTAGCATGACTTTCTTAGAAATAAGTTCCAAAAGCAAGTTTTTCGAGCTTTGCTTGAACGAACTTTTTAGTACTTTGATGTTTGTTGGAATTCTTTTTATCTTAATTAAGCAAACACTCATATTTTTTTGAAAATGGCTTCATAGGCTTGGAAGCCCGTTTGAAGCTATCAGAAAGCTCAGCCAAACAGGCTCTTACTTTGTTTCAGCAGTTGCTTATGTTTTTGTGGCATTAAATCCATGTCGGAAACTTTAACTGTTGCTTCTCAGTCTACTGGAATTAAGTCTCCTGCAACACATGTTGATCATGTCGGGCTGCAAATTACAACTATGAAATTAAGTAATTCCAATTACTTACTATGGGCTCAAGCAGTGAAAATCTCTTTAGGCGCGCCCGACAAAAGCTAAAGTTTATTACAGATGACCCTCCATCTAAAACATCAACAGCGTATGAGGACTAGGAAACTGATAACTATATGGTTATGTCCTGGTTGTGGAACAGTATGGAACCTTCCATTGCATCCACTTTTATGTTTGTAAACACTGCAAAGGGAATATGGGATGCAGTTAAAGAAACCTACTCTATGAACACCAATGTTTCTCGCATATATTCACTTTATGAGAAGATGTTTCGTTCTCGTCAATCTGGTCAAGGCATCAGTGAGTATTATAGTGCTTTCAAAAGCTTGTTAGATGAGTTGAATCAGTACCATCCCTTGACTACTGATCTTACCGTTCTCAAGCGACAACGTGAGGAATTTTATGTTTCCATTTTTCTTGCTGGTTTAGACCCTAGCCTTCAAAATATTCGGGATCAAATCCTTGCTGGTGATGGAGGACTCCCATCTTTGGGTAACATATAGGCACGATTACTTCGGGTTTCAAAACAATCACATGGGATGTCCACTGTGAAAGAAAATTCAGCTATGATGATTCATTCTATCTCTCCACAGTTCTCTAGAGTCGGTGATACTCCTAGTAGCAACAGAGGGTATGGAGGAAATTCGAGTGGTTCTCGTAGCGGTGATGGCCGTGATAGAGGTTGTAGTCGCCGTGGTCGTGGACGTACTGATACTCGCTACCGCAGTCACTGTCGGGGTACTAACCATTCTATTGAGCACTGTTGGGCTCTTCATGGAAACCAGCATAGACAAATCAAGTACTGTCTTCCTCTGACATTGCTGGGTCTCATCGCTCTCTTGACTACAACCACCTACCTTCTCAGACTTCTGTATTGCCATCACCTGCATCTACTAGTGACAGCGTGACACTATCACGAGCTAAGTTCAGTGCCTTGGTCAACCGGACGCATCCCAACTCTACTGATGTGGTTAATTTTGTGCAATCAAGTAATATTGCGTGCTTGTCCGATTTACATACTTTGGCCTCCCCTTGGGTTATTGACTCTGGGGCGTCTACCCATCTCACAGGTGATGAATCTCTATTTTCTAATTTTCAGAAGTCTAGCTCCTCATCTTTTGTTACTTTGGCTGATGGTAGAACATGTTCCATTATTGGCCAAGGAACAATTAAACTAACCCCATCCATTTCATTATCTTCTGTGCAATTGGTTCCACAATTTCCCTTTAATTTATTATCTATAAGTAAATTGACTCAAGCACTCAATTGTTTTGTCACATTTTATCCTTTGTTTTATGTCTTTCAGGACCTCAACACGAAGAAGACGATTGGTGGGGGCATTAACAGAAATGGCCTATATTATTTGGATTGCCAACCTTCCACTAGTGGTGTTGCTCTACATTCCCAGATGTCTGTATACCAGTGGCATTATCGATCAGGTCATCCCTTGTTACAGTACTTGAAGTCTGCATTACCTTTTCTTGAGTCGGTGTCTACTTTAAATTGTGAGTCTTGTCAGCTGAATAAGCACCATAGAGTGCCTTTCCCTCCTCGTATTGATAATCGTCGGTCTTCTTTATTTGAATTGGTGCATACGGACATTTGGGGTCCTGCTCGTCACACTAGTTAATCAAGTTTTTCTTATTTTGTTACCTTTGTTGATGATTATTCAAGGATGACTTGGTTGTTTTTAATGAAAGACCGTTCTGAACTTTTTTCCATATTTCAATTATTTTAAATAAATAAAAAATTAGGTACAATTTGGTTGTGTTATACAAACTTTACAATCTGATAATGCTATGGAATATGTCAAATGTGCTATTTCTACTTTTTGTGACACTCGTGGTATCTTGCACCAAACTTCTTGTTCTTATACTCCCCAACAAAATGGCGTAGCTGAATGGAAAAATAGGCATTTAATTGAAATAGCTTGGACATTGATGATCCATATGCATCTTCCAAAGGCATTTTGGGGCAATGTTGTTTTAGCTGCTTGTTATTTAATTAATCGTATGCCATCTTCCGTTCTTAATTAGAAATGCCCTTATTTTTCCTACTCGGCCATTATTTGCATTGACTCCTCGTGTTTTTGGGTGTGTGTGCTTTGCTCACATATTACGCCCTTGCACTGATAAATTGTCTCCTCGTGCCATTAAGTGTGTCTTTATTGGGTACTCTCGGACTAAAAAGGGTTATAAATGTTGGGATCGTAGCACTCGTAGTGCTTTTGTGTGCATGGACATTACCTTTTTTGAGGACACTCCTTATTTCTCTTCAAGTGGTTCGTCTTTAGATACCAAGTTGTTGCTTCCGTTGCCCGTTGTGTCACATTCATCAGACTGTGACCCACCACAGCCACTTCAAGTGCCACAACCACCTCATGTGCCACAACCACTTCAAGTGTATAGTCGATGATCACAAGTAACACCCCCCCCCCCCCTTCCCCCCCAAATTGTCTACACTATTGAGGCTCCTCCTGCTACTGATGATCTTCCTATTGCGCTGCGCAAAGGTATTCATTCTTGTGTCACTGCACATCCCATCTCTAACTTTGTTTCCTATAACAATGTATCGCCCTCCTTTTCTTGTTTTTTATCCACATTATCTGCAACTTTTATTCCAAAGACTGTGCAAGATGCTCTCTGTCTAATACAGATTGGCGCAAAGCCATGATAGATTAAATGGATGCTCTTCATCATAATGGGACATGGGACCTTGTTCCCTTACCTCCCGGTTCCAAACCGTTGGTTATAAGTGGGTATACACGGTCAAATATCTCCATGATGGGTCTGTTGAGCAGTTGAAGGCTCGCCTTGTTGCAAAGGGATACACCCAAACCTATGGTATTGATTTTGATGAGAATTTTTCCCCGGTTGCGAAGATTTCTTCTATTCGAATCCTTATTTCCATTGCCGCCAATTGTAATTGGCCGTTGTTTCAATTAGATGTGAAAAATGCCTTCTTGCATGGTAACTTACATGAAGAGGTTTATATGGAGCAACCGCCTGGATTTGTTGCTTATGGGGAGTCTCGTTATGCTGAATTTCGCCTTAAGAAGGCCCTGTACGGATTGAAACAATCTCCAAGGGGTTGGTTTGGAAAATTCTCCAAGGCGACAATTTCTTTTGGCCTTAACAGATGCCAAACAAATCATTCGGTATTTCACCAACATACTAAAACTGGCTTTATATTTCTTATGGTATATGTAGATGATAATGTTATAACATGTGATGATTCTGACGGCATCGCAAAGTTGAAATCATTCTTGCAGAATCGGTTCCACACTAAGGATTTAGGCAAACTCAAATATTTCTTGAGTATTGAGGTTGCTAGTACCAAGGAAGGTATAAGCCTATCTCAAAGAAAATATGTGTTGGACTTATTAGAAGTAACAGGTATGTTAGGTAGTCGCCCTGCTGATGCTCCTATGGATCCAAATATAAAACTATTACCTGATGAGGGTGATTTATTTGATGACCATGGTAGATATCGACGTCTGGTTGGGAAATTAATTTATCTCACTATCACCCGACCTGAAATTTCATATGCAGTTAGTGTTGTAAGTCGATTCATTAGTGCTCCCAGAATACCACATTGGAATGTTGTTCTTCAAATTATAAGATATCTCAAGCAAGCTCCAGGTTTCGGATTACTATATAAATCTAATGGTCATCTCAATGTGGCAGGTTTTACAGATGCTGACTGGGCTGGATCTCCCTTAGATAGGAGGTCTACTACTGGCTATTGCACATTTGTAGGAAGGAATCTGGTTACATGGAAAAGTAAGAAACAAAGGATTGTAGCTCGATCTAGTGTTGAAGCCGAGTACAGGGCAATGGCTCATACCACTAGTGAGTTGACATGGATACAACATTTCCCAGAGGAACTTGGGCTGACGGTTAAAGCTCCTATTCCATTATTTTGTGATAACCAAGCGGCTGTCCACATTACATCTAATCCTGTGTTCCATGAGAGGACTAAGCATATTGAAGTTGATTATCACTTCATTCGAGAGAAAATATTGAGTAGGAACATTTCTACTCCATTTGTGAAGTCTGAAGATCAATTAGCTGATATGTTTACTAAGGCTCTTGGTCATAATCGGTTAAAGACAATTTGTTCAAAGCTGGGATTATATGATATATATATTCTCCAGCTTGAGGGGGAGTGTTAGAACATTTATATGTAAATATATATTTATGTAGTGGTCAGATTGTAATTATATATAGGGTTTGTGGTCATTATGCAAATAAGCCTTTCTTGTATTTTATATATACCCTTTTATGTTTAGGGTTAAAGAAATAATAAGAATCAGAGGGTTGCGCCTCTCTTATCTATGCTCTCTCATATCAATCTGCTCTCTCTCTCTCTCTCTCTCTTGAATTGTATCTATTTCACAGCTTTCACACACAATTTCCGATTTGGAGAAATGGCGAAACGGGTTTTGTAGATAAGGGTTCATTGCATATGATCTCAAGATTGGGGTTTCAATGCGTTATTTGGTGAATTTCATGCGCCAACCTATTGGTTTGTAGTTTGTACCTTGAGTGATTGTACATTTCAGGTGAGTGTTTCCTGCTAAGTATAAACTTTTTTGGACAATTTTTACTTGGTTTTTGAATAAAAAGGTATATGATGAATAATCTGTGATGGGTTCATAAGAAATTGTATACATTCAGTTTTATCAATAGCAAATTTTGGTACTTGGGATTTATAATATTGCTAAACCTCGGTCGGCGGAGCTTCTCAATACCGGTGAGTGGTGGCGCTGGTGACTTCATCTATATATATATCCTCTCTAAATATATACACACACATATACACACACATATATGGGTCTCTTCTTTTTAAAGACTTCAACTTTGCTATTATTCTGGGTGGTGGTTGTTGAGTATAAGTTACATAGAGAGTGAGTAGAGAGAGTGTGGTAGTTGGTTGTGGCCGTGGCCGTGGCGAGGGACGGAGAAGATGCGACACAATATATATATATATATATTGTGTGTAGATATATATAATATAATATTATTATACTATACTCATATCATATATATATAATATAATTGTAAATTTGTAAAGTATTTAAGGTATTTAGTCTTTTTATTTAATTCTTTAGGTCAGAGAGCTCTTTTGACAAAGTCAAAGGTTATTCAAGTCATTTTAAGAGCTCTGACACATGTGAGGTGACGATTGGGGTGTGAGTAAAAGACGGAGCAAACGTTTGCATTGAGTGATAGTAATTTTCAAAATTTGTTTCAATGTGATATTTGGCCAAACTTGAGGGGGTGTCAGTGAAATTAACCCTAAATAAAAACACTAATGTGAAATATCCTCTGATAATCAAATTGTCATATATGAATGAAACACGAACACATTCAAGAAGAGTTGGATGGCAATTCTATTTTGAAATGACATGCAAACAATATACGAGGTGGGATTCGAAAGTCAGAAGTTTTTATAGCGAATGACAAAAAGGAGTAATGACATCCAAGTGATCTTTACAATATATATATATATATATTTGAGAATAATTTAATCTAGCAATCACCTTAATGATGGCCACATAAGGTTTTTGGTTTGTTTCCTCGGGAACTAAAAGCACAGGATCCTCCTGCACTACCACCACAAAAGATACATCAATATTGTAAGCAAGTAAATAAGCAAAAACTATCAGGCAAATCATTGCTTACTTTCTAAAGCATTGAGTACTTGACAAAAATCAAAATTTTTGAATTGGACATATAAATTTCCAAATATAGACATGATATATCTAAGATCAAGCATCCAAAACATTTTTAAAGAAAAAAATAATACATACACACGCGCGCAATAAGTCCAAATGAAATTCAGTAACCACCCCTCTTCGCAATGCAATATTTGCTATTCCAAAAAACAAACAACCACTTGAGCCACATGAAGATGCCGAGTTTGCTTCATTAAATGACCTTTTTAAGAATTCGGTATAGCCACATGAATATAAATCATTTTTTCAAACTTTGAACTCATATATAAGTTCTATAATGCATGTTACGCATCTTAAACACATTTTAAGACATGAATGCCTGAAATTAAACCATGATTGCTATTAATTCATGAGGCAAAATTACTTTCTTCATCTACTTGATCTTCATAATCTTTAAGGTCCATGAATCAAAGATGGACTCCAAGGCAAACTAACTAACTGAACTTTAAAAATAAACTAAGTTGCAGTTTGCAACTAAACTATAGACCCCGGCCTTTGTGACAAAATTTGCCAACACTAAGTCCCAATATCCTAACAAGTAAACTGATGAACCCTAATTTATTTGGAAATGCAATTCATTTATGTATCTATATATAGAGCTTTGAGATAGCTAGCTCGATATGTATATACACACACACACGGAAAGGTGAATTACATGTATGTATAGAGACATAAGCTTTGGAATGATAACAGAGTTAAAAAGGTGGAGGTCGAGAAAGACATGACATCATAAAAATCCCTATTGAAGAAGCAGATGATGAGAGGGTGTGTTGGCCAACAAGTCTCTCCCATTGATCAAAACCCATGCACAACATAAAATGAGAAACAAGCAGAACGTGCTTAAAAAATTGAAGGTTCGTTTAATCCATTCTAAAATGAACTCACAACCCAACGACACAGAACTGAAACCCTATATTCCTCCAAACACATCAACAAACACCTTGAACCGAAATTCATTTCTCAGACAATAATTGCATATATCATCACCAGAACACTAAAATAGACTGAAAAATATAATCCTTGCCCGATTCAAACAGACAGAGTCCAAATTCTAAAGCCCTAGGAAGACATCAACAAACTGCCTAACATCACAGCAAAATTTAACCAAAAACAATCCACAATCAGAACAAACACACAAGGACACTATTCAATTCTAAATTTCACCACCACTGTGAATCAAAATAATCAATTAACAAACCAATGCAAGAAAAATTCAAAAGATAGAACTCACCAGATCGTAGGAAATTCCGTCGTACTCGAATCCCGAGTAGTGGCTGCGCCTCCCTCGTCCCTTACCAGAAACCCTAATGACGACGCCAATGGGCTTGGCGTCCTCCTGTACCACCTCTTCCTTGTTGTCTTCCTCTCCGCCGCTAATCGAATGCTCTTCTCCTCTCGATTTCTTTTTACCTCTCCCTTCCGCTTCCTTTTGTTCTTCCACTTCGCTGAGCTTCATCTTCTTCCTCTTCCTCCGATTCGGTTGTTCATCGTCGGTGTTGGAGGAATGTGGCGGCGGTGCTGGTGGTAGTGGTGGTGGTGCGTCGTCCTCATCGTCGCTGGCTGCGAGCTGTGCGAAACGTCTGTAGCCCATTGTGGTGCGCTCGGTTTGTTTGTCTCTCCTGCCTGAGCTCTTCTGTTGAATTAATTGGCAAAATGGGTTGTACAAGGGGTTTTTTAAGTGGAGTAAAGCTTTATAGGCGAATATGGGTGTTGAGAGTGGTCCTGCAGTTTCGTTAAATTGCGGATTTGCCATTTCGGCCCATTTCAACAGTTGCAGCGAGCCCTTGGTTCAAATGATCGAAAAAGACCCTGAAGATGCCGGTAATGGAAAAATAAAGATAAAAATAGAAAATAAAAATAAAGTATAAAAGAAAAAAATAAAGTGTAAACTAAAAAAACAAATGTGATCCAAACTCCGGAAATTAGTACACACTGATATTGGAATTTGTTTCTTTTTTCTTTTTTTTTTGCTCAACAGTTTTGGTTTTGGTGCAAAAAAATAAATAAAGAAAGAAAAAAAATTAGTAGAAAATAGTAAGCTGAAATCTCAAAAAATTCAAATCCTTATTGTACAAATTCTCAAAGTTTCAAAAAAAAAAAAAAAATTAAAGATATATATAGAGAAAAGGTTTTAAAATATATATATATATATAAAGTAATATGTACATAACACTCATATATTATGAGGTAGCATATATATTCTTTGAGTATTTTCGAAAGAGTAAAAGGATAAAACGGATATTATAATACTAATTTATGTTAGATTTTTTATGGAAGAGAATGTTTACACATTGTGAAAAGATTAAATTTATTTTTTACAAATTTATTCAAATAAGGAATAAAAATAATACATGAAATATACTTTAAAATTATTTTTTGCACTTATTTTACGGTGCAATCCATCTTTGGCTTCACTGCACAAGAGGAAAGATGGAAAAGGAATCTGGGACCACTGGCACTAGATGGTACAATTTGTTGGAGATTACAATTGTGTAATAATTTTACAAATAAATTTGACTGACACTAGATGTTGGATGATGGTACAATTTATTTGGAGAATAAAATTTTGAAAGGATAGGGATTCACAATCGTGTAATACACCTTTTGAATATTTATTTTGATTGGACAATGAACGATTGTCCAGATTCCGCTGGGCTTCATTTGGATTGACAGATATAGAAAGAAGAAAAAAGAAATAAATAAATAAAAATAGTGATTTTTGTGTTTGGATTATTAACAAATAGATAAGGATATATTTGGAGGGAAAGTTGCTTGTTATCCTTCCAAGAGTAAAAAGATTTGGAGATAAAAAAACAAGAATTTAAGAGACACTTTCCTAATGGTGAAAATAATTTTAACATTTATTTTTTTATTTTTATTTTTTTAATGCAAACAAAGCCTTAGTATAGGAAGGCTTAGAGGGGTGGACTAAATACAAATTTACCTTTTTGATATTATTTGTACAAAATAATTACTTTCAAATTTTAAAATCGTTTATTTAACTTAACAAAGTTAATTGCCTTTCAAAAAGAAATTAAATTTTTTTCTTAACAAAGTGCATCAAGCAAGGATTGGAGGGAGAGAGAATATGAGTAAAGTGTCTCATGATTTTGGTTACAGTTTAAAAAAAATGGGGATTGTGAAAAGAAATTTTATGAATTGAGCAACCTAGAAGAAAGGAAGTTTAGGAGTGTATTTGGATTAGTTAAGCTTTCAAATGGGAGAAGAACTGTTAGCATACGTTGATGCTATGTTCTGTAGGAAGGAAAGGGTGCGGAGAAAAAATAGAAAGGAAAGAACAAATTTCCTTCCTTCGGTAAGAATTGATACCAAGAAAAAAAAGAAAAATAAAAAAGATAACATATCTTTCCTCTTTTACAAATGCCCATTAAAGTAAGGAAAACACGTGACTATTATAAAAATTTTAAATTAAATACTATTATAAATTACACAAATTTTAAATTTCAATTATATCCTCTATAGATTACAATATTATAAATTTTATTGAATATAATGATAAAAATAATTAAAACTTTCTCTTTCCTTATCTTTCAAAGAAGATAGTAAATTATTAGTTTCTTCTCTTATTTTCTCTTCTCTTCTCTTCTATCCATTGGAACAAAAAGAAAAAAATACACAATCTCTTCCCTATGAATGTCATATCCATCCCCTCTTCCCTCCCTTCCATTCAATTTTTTTCTTTCCCACGGAACATTGCATGAAAGCCCAGTAATGCTTTGAACGTTTAAAATAGCAAAATTTACAAACGGAAAACTAAAGCATTCGAAATGTGAATATATTTTTGTCTTTTCTTTCCTGTTGTTTTTTCCCCCCTTTGGCAACATCACCATCAGCTACCAACCTATATAAAAAACGGGATTGGTATGTTGGTTAAGTTTCTGCTGTTATCACGCTCACTGCTCCGTGCAATTTCTTTCAGACTAGTCCACGATTTTCTCTTCCTCTTGCTTGACGTGCTGACAGCTATTTCTGCATCTTTTGCGGCAGGACTGCTTTCATATGCAGCCGGCTTTTTAACTCCTGATCTGTTCCTCTTTCTCGCTCTTCCTTCCAACAAAGTAGTAACTGGTTTCACCAAAGGAGTCGCCGGACTGCTTGAAACAGGATTATCTCCGGGTATGGCTGGTAAAGCAACCTCTTCCATCTTATTCATCTCAACATTGCTTCTCATGGCTTTCTCGGAACTGACAGACTTCTGAAATGTGGGGTTCGCAGATCCTGACTTCAAAGATGGTTTGGCCTTTGGACATATATCTTTCATATGGCCTCCAGGGGTCCCTCTCATCAAATTTCTATGTGAACAGAAGTGGCATTTGTAAATTACATTGTTCTGTGTCAAATTATTCATTTTCTTGCGTCTATGCCTCACTTTTGCTCTATTCTTCTCAATTCGGACAGTACAATTATGACCAGGCTGAAGAATAGATTCACACCTGTAAAACATGAAATAGTAATCAAAACTCATAACTATTGAATATATCCTTTCATTCCTCAAACGTTTATACCATGCCATTTATTAGCAAAATAGTAGAGATAAGGGAACAAGAATAGAAGAGACATTAGTATCATTATCATATCATACCAATAGCAGTACCAATCAATAAGCACACAGCACAGAGTACCATAGCTTCGACAATTTTCAGGTGGAAGCAGTTAAGGGGCAGGGGGAGGATTGTCTGCACTAATGTCTTCATTCAACTTTAACCATATGACATTGATGACATGACCGTTTAACACAATCCAAGATTTTAAGGGGTTTATAAGCCAAGAAAACCCTCACCAATAAGTGCGGGAAGATACAAAATGGAGAAAGTATACAATTAAAACACATGGAACTACAACCATTGGGGCTCATAAATCATAATTCAATCACAAACGCGGACACTTCCGTTGTCCAATGGCATCCATTCCCCATATTTCTGTTGCATGTGAAGTAGAAACAAAAAAGCAAGCATCAAAGCATTTTTCTTGCAGAGGTGCATAGAATAGTACTTCCCCTCTTCTTACAATCCAGCAACTTATTACCTTCCTGCGACAGCATGGTTTCCTGCCAAAGATTTAACTTCTAATAATTTCCAAGTCTAAAGATCTTGAAATCCCAAAATCTTAAACTAGATATGTAGAATTTCAATTCAATTTCTAGGCAGTTAAAACTCCTAAGCATTCTGTACACGGTTTCCATTCAGCTGTTAATTACTCTCTGATCTCATTCTTTCACCTTCTTCCTTTCTTTTTATCATATTTTTTTACTTTTTTTTTATCATAATGGGGTGGTTTGGGGGTTCAATTAAGGAAGATGAAAACCCAGCAATAATTTGTAATGTACAATATGTTGTTCGATAAAGAAACAGGTTGTTATTCGTAAAATCAGCAGATACCTAAAATGAGGATACCTGGATGTATGAAAATGGCAAGACAAGAATATATAAAATAAAATCTCTGATCTCATTCTTTCACCGTCTTCCTTTCTCAATAATTTTCATACGTCTTTACATGGATGTTGAAATACAAAATGAAATCTAAATATGGTTAGATCTTTAGGCCCCATTTTAATGGATGGTTATGCAATGAAGGGTTTTCACTTCGACATGGTACAAATATCTAAATACATCTTCCAACACAAATCCCTATTTTTTCCGCTCCAATTCCCCCACCACCGCGAACCCTAGTTGGATTCAGGTATGATACATTTTTTAGTACTTCGAAGAACCCAAGTACTCTCTTTCAAATCAGGGTTCAAATGACAAATATATCAGAGAATTAGCGATGGGAGTCGAAATATATGGGAAAATGAGCCATGGAAGTCGAACTGGGAGATAAAGAGGAAGATAGGGTATAGGAGAATACAGTAGGGTAGATACAGTTTTATCAGGATCAATCCGCAATTATATCCTTCATAATATGGATTTCATATAACTTCATTAACCTTGTTATTTTATAATCTACACATAAAAAAGGTTCTTAGTGCCCTTCACTCAAGGTAGATTTTTGCCTTAAAGCAGCTTAGACGCTTGAAGGGTAAATAACCAGGGTTCAGTGGTTACAAACTGCTGACTGAAAGGAGATTACTCTTTGTAATTTTTGGTATATTTGAAAAAAGTGCAAGAAACAATATTTTAGGACCTTTAAACTTCTAAATTGTAATAAGATTGAGGAAGTCACTTTGACATAAATAATTGTATGAGCTCTAGGATTGGAGTTTTGCAAGAGGCATGAATTTACTGGATTTTTCAGACAGTTTATCCTTTATGATTTTAATACATCTATTAGTACAAGGGTTTTATCCTCTCTTTTTTCCTACAGATAAACCTATTGTATTTAAAAAATAGAGAAGATTCAAATTGTAACAATATTACCCTGCGCAAGTACATCAATGAACTAAGAAGCACAACTCCAATAAATGAAGAGTAAGGTCATACAAGGATTAATTTGAAGAAACTATCGTAACAGAGAATCGCTAATCAGATAGAGATGATAGAGAACTGTCAAATTAGATATGTAGTTAGAACCACATCTCTAAGTATAGTCAAAGATATCTAAAACCTAACAATGGGTAGTTTCATATAAGCAATACACATATATTGTGAAGACATGAACTAATCACTACAGATATATGCAAATACAGTACGACAACACAATTGCGCAATACTTGCTACAACATTCCATGAGAATTTTTTATTTTAATACAGCTTTCAACTTTTACAACTAAAGGCATTTACAAATAACCCAGAGAAGAAAAAGTAAAAATAAAAATAAAAACTAAAACAAGGCATGTAAGTAAAAATGAAACTGCATATATGCATGTAACTTGTTCTAATCATCATGGGCACTCTAACCAACTTCCAAAATCATCATCATCCTTGTCTTGGTATCATTGGAATGAAGTTGGCCATATAGATTATCCTTTTTTTTTCCTTTCTACTATAAGCCAAGCCTCCTATTATATCTAATTTCATTAGATTTTTTATTATTTATTACTTCCTCCCATTGTAATTATGGTTGCTTCTTTGCCTCTTATATTCTGCTTTAACTGATGATCATTGTTTATTAGTGCATTTTCCGGTCTACGTTGTATATGCCTATGCCATTTAAGCCTTATTTCTCTTCGTTTATCACTAAGAAGCGTCACACATTATCTTTCTCTAACATGTTGATTACTAATCACGCCTCTTCTAAATAGTCCTATCATGCATTTCAATAATCTCATTTCAGCAAAAATAATGCATTTTTATTGTTTCTTTTTAAGCATCGAACATTTTGCTCCATATAAGATGGTTGGTTAAAAACCATCCTATATGATATTATCTTATTGCAAAGGATACCACTAACTCGTCTTCACCTTCCCCAAGTACCAAAAATATTAGAGATAGTAGTTTCTAAACCCCACATAATTAAATTACGGAGGAAACAATCATAACGACACATACCTACATACAAACATATAGGGAGAGATGAGAGAAATAACAAAACCTGAAACAATGATTGGTTGAGCTGTACCAAGTTAAAAGACAATTGCATCGTCCAAAATCCAAACTAATATTTTCTACTAATTTCCATAAGACTTTAAAAATATACCACTGCAGGAATTTACAGCAGCCACCAAAAAAAGGCATATGCACTTATAACACGATTGCATAATTGCACATAACTTGCTTCAGGGATTTGGGCAGGATCAAACCCAGAGTTCCCAATCATCCAAAAGAAATCCAAAACCCTAGACAATAGAAGTACAATCCAAGCCAGCATAACCACCTAACATATGCATATAGGAATATATAGAGAGAGTGAGTGAGAGGACAAAAGTCACCAACCTTTGGCAAGAAAAGAGTGATGGGTCGGGTGGTATTCCAGTGGCCTCACCACAGGCAGCCAAGCGATTACCAAAGAAGGCAGCCAATGAGGGTATGGACACATCGCTGCTAGCCCAAACCGCGAGGCTCTTCATATGCTGCACTTTCAAATTCAATTTTGTGTTGGTGGTCATCTTTTTCTTCCCACCGGACTCTTCTCTGAGTGTGATTGAAGCCTGAGACCCACCGGTAACATTAGGTGCTTGCTTTTTTGGTCCTCTCTTGCCCATGTTTCCCTTATCAGATTTCTGGTGTTTCTTTCAGGACTTTACTCAAACAATCTATTGATAGAAATCAAAATCTCAAATCCCAATATCGTCGTGTATCTATATTATTATTTACGTATCGCAACACTAATACAAACCCTAAAGAAACACACACAATCACAGATAATCAACACAGAGGCCATTATAGATGAACATACGACCACAGAAAAAATTAAAAATTTATTGATGCCATTTCACTGATGAGAAGATGCGTCATAATCAATCGAAATTAGCAATGACGAGAAGAGTGCTAATTGATGGAGGGACGACAATTGAAGGGTCCGCAAACTTGATGAAGCCGTAGCCTTTGGAACCAAGGGCGGATCCAAGATTTCACAATGGGGTGGGCTAATATTAAACAAAAATTTAATAACAAAATTTTTTAAGGAAAAAAAAAAAAAGCTCGTCTAACCTCATCCATTTGATTTACCGGGTATTCATGTATTTGAATACGTAACCTAGGATCTCTTTCAATAGAAGTGGAGTGAAGTTGATTGGGTTCAACAACTTGAGGTAGGGCAGGAGGATGCAAATCAAGATCGCTAGGTATATCCTTTTTCAATTGATCATCGTCAATGTTAGATGCACTACCACTAGGTATATCCTTTTTCGATTGACCATCGTCACTCATTTGGCCTCTCTTTTGATAGAATGAGAGAATAGACCTACTATTCACTTTCTTGTTTGAAGGTTGATGTTGAGTCATTATTATTTTTAACCTAATAAAATTAAAGAATGAGTTAGATTAAAAATATCTAAATCAAAATATATCAACCAAAACCAACTGTTGTTTAATTCAATTTTAGTTAATTAACAATGTTTCTTTAGACAATTGACTGATTAAGGCATAGAAAATCCTATTTGGGTAATTAATATAAAAAACCACCAATTTATTTCTGACCAATTCACCACTCAGTATCCTATCTCTTCTTTTGACCAATTTACTAATCCTATTTGAGAATCTACGAGTGGAAGCAGAGTGTGAGGTAGTTCATGGCAAGCCCCTTCCAACACTATGGAATTCACTCAAAAGAATGTTTTTTAAAAGTATTTTAATTTTCAAGCAGTAACTTTAGAGCTTTACCCTATATTAAGTAATTTTGTTGTTTATATATTAACAAATTTTGTTACTTTATATTGTACTTTGTTTCATATACAATTGGGTGCCCATATTAATTGACAGATTTATGCTTTATGTGGTTAACATCCAATTTATTATTAGCATGAAAAAATCTGGAATAAATATATATATATATATATATATATATATATATATATATATATATATATATATATATATATTGAATAATTGAAGAAATGACTTACCTTGAATATCAATTGATCCAATTTGTTGTGCTTTATACTTAAGAGTCTGAAGTGATGAAAGCACTCTAAAAGATGGTAGGACCGTAGGATGCTGTAATTGTAAAAATTATAATCCACGATAAGGGCCTTCAGCTTGTTCAAGACTCAAGTTCAACCCAAATTTACCAATTAGTCTTTCAAATCCTGCAAAGGGAGATCCTGTTTCAGTCATTATCTTCACAAATATTTATAACTAAAATTCATAAAATAAAAATAAAAATAAATTATATAAAAAAGATCATCAAAAATTTCACCAAATAGGATTTAGTTTGCAAAACAAGAATTACAGACCTTGATTAATTGATTTAGAAAAAAAATTTAAACAAAAACCATACATACAAGTTCGCAGTTGCAGAGAGGGAGGGGCAAGCTTGAGAGTTGAGAGACAGCGGGCCAGCGGCTGAAGCTTGCGAACGGCGAACCCGAACTGGAACAGCGGGCGATGGAAACTGAAAGATATGGGTTTTGATTTTTGGAACAATCTGAAATGATACGCCGATATGGGTTTTGATATAGGTAATAGGTTTTGAACTTTTGGTTCTTGCAGACAGATAAACTGAAATATATGGGTTTTGAACTTCTGATTCTTGTAGATTTTGTAGTTTGCAGTTGCAGAGAGAGAGAGGGCAGGTTCAGAGTTGAGAACGAGAATAGAGATGGAGGCGATTGGGGAGACTGAAATGATTGGGTCAGGGCCAGAGGCCACCCCCACCGCTCTTGTTTGGAACTACCTTGAAAGAGAAAGAGAAAAACCGAAGGGTTTTAAGTTGTATAAATCTCGGAAGGGAAGGGGCAACAAGCGGTTGAGAGAGGGATAGTGGAGAGTGGTGGCGGCGGCGGCAGAGAGTAGTGAGTGGCGTTGGGTAGCAAAGTTTAGGGGTTTGCCTACCGGGTTAACCCATTAAAGCCGGTTTTTTTTTTTTTTTTTTTTTCAGTTTTATATATGTTTTTTAGGACACTGGTCGTATTTTTAGTCCTGATAGGAAAGGACCTAAATCCTCCACTATGGTCCATGGACTTCGCTCCAACCCATCTTGAGACCCGATCCATGTTCTTAAATAAGCCCAACCCAGCTTCCTATAGACCAATCTCCCAGGTCCATTGCGGGCGGTGGACCTTGGCATTAAGCCAGCCTCACCTCAAAAGTCCAACTCGATAGTCCCGACTCCCAACTTTGTAAAGTCTACTTAATAACCCCGATTAGCCCATTATTTATATACTCAAATATGTAGAATTGGTGGCCTCAGTTGGCAGAGGCACTCTTCTAATTGTGTAATGACCCAACTTCGGGTTACCCTATTCTCCCCAGGTAAAATATTTGACGTTAAAATTCCTTTTGTTCTTAATTTTCTATGGCTTGTGTTTACGGATTGTATTTCTTTTTCTTTTTTTTTTTATTAGACTTTAGAGAATTTGTGCTTTGTGACTTTATAAAAGCTCACATTTCATTATTTTGGTCCAGCCTGATCTTGACCTATCTTGGACTTCTTCTTTTTTCTTTTTCTTTTTTCAAAGCAAGAGTTAGGAATTAGTGGCTAGTTGTTAGAGGAGAAGGGAATGATGCAAGGCTGAAACACGGACTCTCAAAAATATTATACATTTCAAACTCCAAAACTAATTTTCACGATTTGTCCAACTTGATATTTCTTTTTTCATTAAATTAAAAGACTAAAGATGGAGTCCTTCACAAATAAAATCAGAAAGTGTGCAACACGCTCACTCAATATACACAATAAATAAAATTAATGACTTCACCAAATTCTTATTAAGAATGTTATTTATTAAATAAATCTAGGGTGTGACAAAATTCATGACTTTACCAAATTCACATTAAAGATATTTAATGCAGGTTAAGGTGAATCACCTTTCACCAACCCATGGCCTCTGTCTATTTAAATTGTTTTTCCTTTTCTTTATAGGAATTTTGTATTCCCTTTTAGTATTTCTTTTAGAGCATTTTCAAGCCATTGGAAGTTAAGGACCATATTACATCATCACTTTTATTATTATTTTAAATTTTTTTTTCATAATAAGAATATTAAGAATTAAAGGAGAAATGGTGCGAATGCTCAAATCTGACTCATTCAAAAACAACAAGAAGCAACCCTATAGCTTAGCCTATGAAGGCTTCGTTGAATTTTAGTTAGACTCGTGACTCTTTAATAGGTAGTGACATGTTTGGTAGAGTTCGAATTTGTTTTGAAGATGGAGAATTGGAGAAACTAATGGAGAGAATCCAAAAATCCTCACTATAGTGCCCCTGATATTTTGTACAGTGCTGTGGTGGCTCAATATTGTGGTGCCACGTGGCACCAGCTGGTTGCTGAGAGTTGAATCCACGTGGATGGGCAATGTTCTCATATTTGCAGAGAAGAATCTATGAGTAGGCTTCGCTGTTGGACAAAGGAGAATGAAGTCCGTGGATTCTAAGTAGGGGCCCTCTTTGGGTTGGAATTATGTGCGGTGGCGTCTCGGATTGCACCTTCTCATATCAAATCATGGACCACACCTTTTATGTACCAACCAGTGTTCAATTTCAATTAGCTAGCATCATGCTGTAACTTGATGATTCTGATTCATGAATCTATCTATATTGGCAATGCAATGTAATGTAGCAGTCATGATCATGTGGGTCCCAAAATGTTTAGAATGATGGAAGCTCAATGTGGAATATGATTGTTCAAATTGTTGACATTATGACAACAAAACTGTTTTTGCTTGGCAATTGTCAAAAATGATGAGCTTCGTGTACAGAATTTTATTCTAAAATTTGGGAGAATTGAGTTCAATAAAGTGAGAAGAAATGCATATAATTAAAATTTTGTGTTTAGTAGTATAAAATTAATGTCTTACAATTAAAAATGAATTACATTCTACTGATCCAAACATCATATTTTATTTACCAACAAAAAAATCCCTCAATTTTTTAATTCAATTCCACACTACCACATAACCAAACATACCCGAAGTGTTTTCAAAAACAACTCTACTTGTGAGAAAATGTATGTTAAAAGGATTCTAATCTTTTAGAATAAAAATTAAAAAGTTTATTTGATAATTTACAAATATTTCTTATGATTTGTGTTTGGTTTGCCATTCAAAAAATAATTCTGAAGAATTTTAAAAATAGAAAATTATTTTCAGATCATTATAAAAAACAATTCTACGAAAACAAACCCTTTCTTTATAATGCAGAGTTTATGTATATTTTTTTAATTTTTAGTTATATTAAAAAATAAAATTATTTTTTAAATAATAAATCAAGCAAGTCCTTACTTTTGCAATTTTGACATACTATTTTCATTTTAAAAATTGAACAAAGGTTTTTGAAATTTTAATTGCCTTCAACTTTAAAAAAAATGTGAACTACGGAGAGTACATTTGGATTCTTTCTTGTCACATTTTATATGTGCATGACTTTGTCCAAATAATTAAAACAATATGTTATCCAAACGTTAGTTCTAATAATACAACTAAAATATAAACGGAATAATAATATGAATTGGAGAAGGGTTTATCCATAAGTCATTAATTATAAATTTAGTATAATAATGAATATTATATGCTCTCCTTGTTTCTGTTTCCTAAAAGCTTCCTTTCTTCTTCCTTGTACGTGTTCTTTTACTTGAAGGTAGGGCTGGTATTAGCATCATTATTTTACTCAATAAATCATTATATATATTTATATATGCAACGTCAAGCATTTAAAAGTTAGCTTGTGTTAAATGCCTTCTCTTAAAAGAAATTAATGATTCAATGGCCTAGAAAGATGGCCCAAGATGCCAACCTAGCTAGAACTTATAAATATATATATACTACGAATATTCAAGTGTGACAGTTGGGGGCATCTTAAGTCTTTGGATATAAATATAAAATATTCAAGTGGGACTTCTGTTTATGGGTCAGTATATATATATATATATATGTATTATGTAAGTATTAATGCACTGATGCATTTTCTTCAGTTTCTAAAGAATTATTCATATTGATTTAATAATTTTAATTTCTCAAATAAGAGTACAAGACACGTGAAGAATGTATGAATGTATTGATTGTATATGTATAATGATTGTATATATGAACAGTACATAGGCGTGCAAAAATCAATCAAGCCGCCCTCTCATTGTGACGTTTTGAGGTCAAAATTATCACCCAATCAGACAATCATCACAGATGAGTTGACCTTCTAAAAATATAATCCCTCCTCCTAAATTAACGATCATCTTTAGGAACTGTAATTCAAGTAACTAAAATTTCAAGACGTTATTTCATTTTTAACATATTAATTTTATTTTAAAATCTAATAAATATAGCGAAATATAATTTAAGAGGAACTAAATCTTAGATTTGATACTTAGTTATGAGAACGTCTTGGGACGGACCCAAATATTCAACAAAAGTTAGAGATTTATTTTTGGCAATTTATCAAAAAGGGTCTTATAAAAATTTTACAACTTTATATATATATATATATAATGAATACGGAGACAAGAGAGAAATGGTAAATTACACTAATCTCTCCTAAAGTTTGGATAAATTACACATGGATAAATTGTTTAAACTTTATTACTTTGACTTCTCCTTTAAATGTAAAAAGTCAATAGTTCTTTTTTTAAAATTTTTTTATAAAAAATTATTTTTTGTCCAACATTATTAAAAACACCATAACTCAAAAGAAGGGCAACATGGCCATTTTATATATAAAAAAATTAGGATAAAGTATAGTCACATCCCCTGAAGTTTGACAAACGGAACTCAAATGAAACTTACCGATTTTTTGGACAAAGACAACCCCTGAAGTTTCAAAAATTGACAAAGACACCTCTTTACATGATAAATTAACCAAATTACCCTTTAACAGTTTATGAGACTTTTTTAACTTTACAATTTAATAAATTGGACCAATCTACCATCGTGAACAATTTATGCATAAAAAAAAAAAAAAAAAACTTTATATTGTTCACTTTTTTTTTTTTTTTTTTGGTTATTTACTTTATAAATGTCCCAACTTCTTACTTCTTAAAAATATAGACGTCCATATATTTCAAATAAATTATATTTTATTATTACTTATTTTATTTTTCTTTTTTATTTTTAAATTAAGATGCTTAATTTTTTATCTAAAAAAATTAAACTAATCTCTTTTCCTTAAAAATAAAAAATATGGTACTAGTATAACTTTATGCATCTTAAATTATATATCAAATATTATGTATTTCCCAACATAAAAGGGGAAAAATAATAATAAAAAAACAAAGGGAAAAAATAATAATAATAAAACAAAGGGGAAAAAAAAAAAAACAAAGGCATGTATAAAGTTAAGATGTATAAAATTATACTAGTACCGTATTTTTTATTTTTAAGAAAAATAGATTGGTTTAATTTTTTTAGATGAAAGAATTAAGCATCTTAATTTAAAAATAAAAAAGAAAAAGAAAAGAAGTAATAACAAAATATAATTTATTTGAAATATATGTATTTGATCAAAAAATTATTTTAGACGTCTACATTTTTAAGAAGTTGGGACATTTATAAAGTAAATAACAAAAAAAAAAACTAACAATATAAAGTTTTTTTTTACTTTTTGTTTTTATACATGAATGGTTCATGAGAGTAAATTGGTCCAATTTATTAAATTGTAAAGTTAAAAAAGTCTCATAAACAGTCAAAGGGTAATTTGATTAATTTCTCGTGTAAAGAGATATCTTTGTCCATTTTTAAACTTTCAGGGGTATTTTTGTCTAAAAAATAGGTAAGTTTATTTTGAATAATTTTTTGCTAAATTTTAAGAAATGTGGCTGTACTTTACTAAAAAAAAAAAAAAAAAAAATTAAGTAAAAAAATATCGTTACAAAATTTAGTATAGCGATACAAAAAGTAGATGGCAATATTGTAATATATAGTAAAATTCGGAGCATTATGCGACCACTAAGTAGCAAATACGAGTCATGAAAGGAAAAGCAAGGACATCATACCACCGACACGTGTAGTTTTACCCGGTTTCCTTCGCCGGCCCAACCGACCAGCGTGTTCTTAAAGGCGGTCTCTCCGCTCTCTCTCTCAACCACAGAAACATATTCGAAGAAGAATCTAATATATCTCTCTCTCTCTCCAAACCTGCTATCCAATCTTCAATCAGCGGTTGGCTTCTTCCCTGGTTCTTCTTCAACTTTTCCTTCTCTTTTCCCTCTCTGTAAATATATATATACATGTAATTGAATTCTCTTCCCACGAATTTCAGATTTTATTCTTATTTGGTGTGGTTTTGAAGCTGTAAATTGTCTGAAATTTGGTGGGTATATTCTGTGTATATATTGTTATCTCGTTATTATTCAATTTCTCTTTCTGGGTCTGAATTAGAGGCTTCTTAAGTTGCTTTAATTTCTTAATCTGTGTCCTGGGTTTATTGGATTTGCTTAAATTTGGGTTCGAAAGGAATGTTCATGGTAGTAATTTGATGTTTATTTAATAAACCCGGGATATTTGCAATGAAAGCTGCTCGTACTTGAGAATAACTTGGTCTATCTCACAAAAGCTGCGGTTTTATATCTGAAGAAATTGAGCTATGCTTGTAACATCTTTAGCTCTATAGATTTAATTGATTTCAGCTTGGCCCTATTTAATTGTTCAATAACATAGAAGTATATTTGTGAAGTTAGGGTTTGAATTCCCACTTGGGTAGGTTTGATTGGTAGCAATAGGGCCAAGTTTGGTTGATAGCAATAGGGCCAAGTTTGGTTGATTTTGAGCTAGAAAGAGGTTTCTGACATAAGGGTTCAGATTTTGCTAGTTGTTGGTAAAGATGGTGGAATCAATTACTGCAACATCCATTTTAGGGTTAAGACCAGTGTGTGGAGGATATTATGGTAAGGATGTCCCAACCAGAAGGAAGGTTGTTCAGGTTTGCAAGCTCCCAGTTACAAAATTTATTGGTAGAAAGCTTTCTACTGTTTGTTCTCCTTTGCCAAGATTGGGAGCTGTTAGGTTAGCAGACAGGTCAATCAAGGCTCAAGCAATGGAATTGGCGAAAGAGGCATATTCATATAGAGAAGAAGAAGAGAGAATTGAGAGGGACTTTAAGTACCACCTTGATACTGTTGTAGATCGAAAACCAGGGTTGTGGCCTCCCGAGAACAAGGCCGATAATGCTTCACTGCATAATCCGTTGCTCCGGCAAGAAAGAATGGGTTGTGGGTGGTTAGGTGCGATATTTGAGTGGGAAGGGGTGCTAATTGAAGACAACCCTGATCTCGAGAAGCAGGCCTGGTTGGCTCTTTCTCAAGAAGAAGGGAAATCCCCTCCCCCAACTTTCATACTCCGTCGAATAGAAGGGATGAAGAACGAACAAGCAATATCTGAGGTTCTTTGCTGGTCAAGAGACCCATCTCAATTGAGAAGAATGGCTTCTAGGAAGGAGGAGATTTACCAAGCTTTGCAGGGTGGGATATATAGCTTTCGATCTGGCTCTCAGGAGTTTGTGAACATCTTGATGCATTACAAGATACCAATGGCATTGGTGTCAACCCGGCCAAGGAAAATAATTGAGAATGCTATTGGGGCCATTGGGATTGAAGGGGTCTTTAATGTGATTGTAGCCGCTGAGGATGTTCACCGAGGGAAGCCTGATCCAGAGATGTTTGTGTATGCAGCTCAGCTTTTGAATTTCATACCTGAGCGTTGTATTGTGTTTGGGAACTCGAATCAAACTGTGGAGGCTGCCCATGATGTGCGCATGAAGTGTATAGCTGTTGCCAGCAAGCATCCCGTGTATGAGCTTGCTGCAGCTGACTTGGTGGTGAGGCGCCTAGACGAGCTCTCAGTGGTTGATCTGAAGAATCTTGCTGCTATTGAATCTGCGGAGTTTGGTTCCAGTGAGCCAGAATTGGAGATGGAGGAAGAGGAAGATAACTCATTTCCATCTTCATCGGTGGCTGTTGATGATTTCTGGTAACCTCTTTCAAATGTACAGTATGTTGTGCTTTCATCTGATTCTTGATGAGATTATAGTTCTATAATGGTTATCCTGTGTATAAGAATAGGAGAGAAAAATTAAAGAAACCAAAAAAGGTGGTCTACATTAGACTACCATTTATGTCATCATGTATGTATATCATCCCTATAATGTATATGTATGAGACTTCATTACTAGTTCTGTGTTTCTTCTGATTTTAATTGCCTTTAAGAACAATTGGACCTCTGCAACTGGAAAATTTAGTCGAGGGAAATCAGAACTGAAATCAGAAAACTGTACAAGAGTTAAAAAAATCTTCTTGTCAGAGATCTTGGCTTGTTTGGTTTATAATTATGAAAACAAAATTGTTATAAGAGAAAAATCTTTTATATTATGAAAACAAACATTTTTATAACTGAGTTTTCAGAAAACTAAACCAAACAGAGTTTTTTTATACAGTTTTCAGTTTTCTAAGCACAAAAAACTGTTTTCATAGTTACAAACCAAGTATATTTTTTTTATTTGTTTTTTGAAAGCAGTTTTTTGTTTTTTGGGATGTTTTTTTCACTTTCTTCTACTTTTTATTGCTAGTTTCATATAACCAAATGAACAAAGAAAAGTTTCTTGAAAATTGTTCTTTTCATGGAGTTTACAAATATAGAAGCTTTCCTAATAAAGGTTACACATCAGACATCATTACTGCAGGCCACAAGGAAAAGTGAGGTTGATGGTCCATGCCCTTGGAGTAGCCTTCTCTCTAATTAGTGGAAGAACCGACCTTGGACCCCCTTCCTTTGAGTGAAAAGTGGTATATACGAGTCACATGGTAAATACAGTATTACCCCAATTCTTTTTTGGTTTCCATGTGATTATGAATGAGTCCACACGGGATGACTAGTCTATTGTGAAGTGATTATGAATGAGTCCACGCGGGATGACTAGTGTATGTGTCGAGAACACCATCAGCAATTCTCTTTTGGCTCACCAAACCACTCCCTCCATGAAAACCCCTAGTTCATATATCAATACATGTTATGGCAAATAATTGCCTGTTGCTAACATATGTTCTCATGCGTCCCGACGCTGTAAATTAATTAATTTTTTACTATTTGCTTGAAAAAAAAAAAAATTGCTTTTCCCATTCAGTTTATAGCATTTTCTGTCTGACCAAACATAGTTCAAAGAGAGAGTGACTGAAATGGTCAACCACCTTCAATGCAAATTTTGTGTCAAAATATTACATGGTTAACGAACTCTAAAAAACTACAATTTGAAGGAAATGTAGATAGCAAGTTTTAAGCCAATAACACCGGACATTTATGTCCTAGTTCTGATCTCTCCTATACGAGCCCGCTAAAGGCAGTATTATAGGGGTGCACACGTTTGCTTGAACTTTCAAAAAGAGAGGAAAAGATTGTACACGTTAATTTGAACTTTCAAGAAAAATAAAAAATAAAAAGAAATGAAGAAGTAACAAGCTAATTGGCAACTTGGCATACTTAAAAGAGGGAAGACAAGTGGACAACGTTAATGTTATTCAATCAAGCAAGTCCAGTGGCTTGGAGAGCAAGCCAATACTTGTTCCTGCGCCACAAGTTGGCACCAAGATGACATAATCCTTTGTAGAGTGCATTCTCCATAAAATATATACACGTGTGATATATATATATATATTTATATTTGTGAACATGTGATACAGACAAAAACACATATATCAACTCCACTACAAAGCAAAAACCAGCACAAGGCAATAGCATACAAAGAACAACCAATTTCACATCAACAGCAATCCATATGGTACTGTACATAAATTACAGCATGGTGACAATCTCTTCTTCTATTCACCCTTTGCATGTAATTTTACAGTCTGAATCCTCTATAAACATATAATTCGTTCCAATGTTATCTGAATTATTTCCAAATATTGTATTACTGAAAAAGGTCAGTCAACTGCCAATGAGGACCGACTTATCATAAATACCAAAGGAAGCATCTCCCTACCCCAGTGACCAAAACCAACCCATCCAATAATGTTGCAAAAGAATGCTTCAACATGACTACAAAACCAACCAGTCATGCATGCAGAGGACGCAGACAATCCATGTCCGTTAAATTCTAAGTTTCTTTCGAGGTTAAGAACCGGTAATCATTCCGCCGGGAAATCATGGTTGCCTTTGATGTCTAGACACCTTCGGAGGAGGAGGAGAATTCAGTAGAAAGAAAGAATTTCTCTTTTCGGTCATCAGGAAGTCATGATCCTTTTTTCTTCAAGTATTGAACCCTCTTTGAGTGCAATTTGTGCTTCGTTCTCCCTACTCATGGCAAAAAGGGCAGCAGCTTGTAAGTATGATGCAATGTGCCAAACAGGGGATATTACTTGTGCTTGTACTGCATCACTGAGGGCTTCCTGCGGCATATCGCTCATGAGATATGACAGGCTACGACGAGCGAAAACCGTTGGGGATACCATGCTTCCAACATCAATGAACTGCAAACAAAACCAAAAATTAAAAATATATATATATCTATATATGTGTGTGTGTGTGTGTGTGTGTGTAAAAAATTAAATAAAAATCAACGCAAATATACTACAAATGAACTTCAGGGATACAACATATTGTTTGCCCAAAATTATAGTACTTCTGTTGGAAAATCAGAAATAAGATGACGAATAAAGTAATGAAAAATGGGAATCTCAATCATAATTTATGAAATGTATAGAAAATCATAATTCTACATTTCCCTCCACACTCATAGTCTGTACCACTGACCATAATACAATTCTAAGACTGCAAGGAATAAGGTAGCCGAATCGTAGAAAACTACTTGGAAATGAAGTGCAACTCAGTTCAGATAAAGCTTCCATGTAAGACGGTAATATTTCACCTGGGTATAGCATTCAATTGCAGCTCTAGAATCTTTGTGCCGGAAAGCAACATCTCCCTTTTTCTTTGAGTTCAATGTTTCCTGCATCTGGTTCGTCCACATCTGGAATGAAAGCTGCAAGCTAGGAAAACAGTAGTAAGCAAAGACCATATATGGTACATATGGCAGGCTGACACAAATGGGCATGCATAAAAGCATTCGTTGAGCAAGTGACACATAGAAGATACATGACAATTAAAATGCCTGGTTAACAGAGAAAACAGAGTTACAAGGGTAAAGAATATATGTGCATATATGTAACCAGCAAACTATGCAACTGAGGTAAATAATGCCCATTTAGAAAGCCCTTGTGGAGGGTGCAAAGTGACCTCTTAATCACAAGATCCCTCAAAATATGTGTGAGCATGTGTGAAGGTGGCTCCATATATGTGTATGTATAAACAGGAGGCGGAGAGAAAGAGAGAGCTCAGAGCGCTTTATCCATTATTATTCATTAATCTTAAGAGTGTCCTTTCACTTTATAACCAAGAGCCCTACTTATGGGCTACAAAAAGTCGTCAAAAAATGAGAGCCTTTAGAACTAATTTCACCCAATCTCATAACATAAGACAACTGGATATATCAGCCTAAACCCTTAAAATTTTCATGATGAAAAATGAAGCAATTTGAATGAAAATATCCTAACAAGATTAAGCCACTGAAGTAAATATGTATCATGTAATTTACATGACATCAGAGTTGGATATCATGTAAAGCTTTTAAATATCAGGGAACAAGATGGGTTTGCCAAGTTGCAAAAACCTCTAGCTGCAGAACTCAATCTCGAGCTTCTATAAGTAGAGAATTGATTGTGTTGATCTTCATCAACCTTTGAAATTAGAATGGTCTTAGAGAACTCCGTGATTATATCATTTAGCATTCCTTTAATGAAAACAAAAATTTGGTGTAAATGCTTATAGGGAATGTGGAGTGTAGACTCCCTAATGATCGCAACATGATCTGGCCAAATGCCAAGTAACATATACTATGTTATATGTTAATCAACAATTAACCCAAAAGCTTAAGATATTATGAAATGGTCCTGTGAACCCCAAAAGCTTAAGATATTATGAAATTGCCCAAAAGTTTAAATTGTCAAGAAATCGCCTGGGGCACATGAAGAAAAAGACGTACAGAACAAAGTTCAAAGAGCAAATGGAGAGACTCGAAATCAGAACCGAAGTTCTGATACCATGTTTAGTAACCATTTACCTAGAAAAACTTGTGCTATTAAAGAATGGATCCAACAATGTAAAACAAGCTGTCACTGAATCACAAATCCATGTTGTACCATTTACCAGTATTGTAAAAAGGTGCAAGTTACAAAACTATGTAGGGAGGATTTCACCACTTTGGGCTTGCTTAACATTTTATTCTTTTCCTGGTCAGAAAAATAAAAAAAAAAAATTATAGATATGAACAATTCTACAAAATTAAGAAAAGCATGTCCACACATATACAATCACCAAGAGTAACTCAGCACCAAAGAGCAAACTATTTGAATAAAGTTTGAGGGACCTGCCACTCTAGTTGCTGCCATGTACAGTAATACATAAGGAATTAACAATGCTATAATATGACACGTATAATTGTTGAATCAACTCTCAACTAAGGACCAAACATTAAGTATAACTATGGTACAAGATAAAATATATAAGTAAACATGTATATTAAGGTCAAACTACAAATATTTCTCTCTAATGTATCAGAAACAAACCTCAGTTGCTGCTCCCTCATCATCTTTATATCCAATCTTTTCTAAGATCTCATGTATGGCAGTCAAGTCCATTCTTAAGCAAGCTTCACCAAGTGGGGAAAGAGGCAAAGCTGCAGCGCCATGTGGTATGCCCATCAATACATGAGAAGGAACCTGCAAAACAAATTGATAAAACTTCATTTCCAGCTAATAGCAGTGATCAGCTCTCAAGACATAGAGAAGCCAGCAGCCAATATTGAAAGTGAGTATTATATTACATTTACTGTAATATTAAGCTATAAGAATGCCAAGAGAACTCTGGTTAAATAACCAGGCCCGTATGAACATGCATGTAACGACACAGCACATCCCAAAGCAAATAACTCTTACAGATGAGAGTAATATATAATGCCTGTTAATATTACTTAACTTGAATGAAAAAGGTATCCCAATTAATCACCAAGATCACACATAGATGCACACAGTTGGAGTTGATCATCTGAGATTCAAATTCCATCATCCACTTCTTTTTCTATAATTGCTCCAACTTACCTATTAAAATTATAAATCTCTCTCAGTTTCACAGCCACAAAGTTCTTATTATCACTCATGTTCTTTAAGAACCTAACCAGGGAAAAATATTTGAAACTCAAACTATTTAATGGTTGATCAACAAGATTGAAAATGGGATTTAAATCTTAGTGAGAAAATGACAGGTTATAGTGGAGTTTTATAGTGGTGTACAGTTAACCAAACAGCACTAGATTTTTCATTTTCCTTTTATGATGCAAGTATATATTTCAATGTTTTAACAACTTTACTAGTCAAAAATAGAAATATACATATGTATACTTTTTGATGTTCTGCATTCTTTAAGCAGTTTCTGGGACTACAGATTCACTTGTAATGGGGTTGAGTGTCTGATGCAGGACCAAATCAAATTTCAACACTTCGAAGAATAAGTAGGATTAATATTAGCTATACAATAATATAGGAATTCTTAGGAGCTGAAAAAACAAGGTTTTGAAAAATAAAATTACAGAGTTTGGAAATGAATCATCATGGATTTAATGTATAAAGTGTAGCTATTCTAAGAGAAAAATATTCATTTCAGAAAAAATAGTAACATGTAGTAGAATCATCGTTCTAGTTCAAAAAAGCTGATTATAATATTCTGAAGAACTTAAAGTTAAAACCTCAACAGAAGTTATTTCTAGTACTAGAATCAGACTATTATTATGTGTGAATCAATTCAAGAATATAATGATAAAACTGAAAAATAAGGTGGATGATTTTGTACAGTTTTACGCCTTATTTATAGTCAGCAAATAGGTGGTAAGGGGGTAGAATGAGTAGATTGAGGTGGTGGCTACCCGTGGGAGATTTGAGGTCCGCTCTTTCTTTAGGGGTTTGGTAGATGTGCAAGGCATTTCCTTTCCTTGGAAAGCAATTTGGCGTACAAAAGCCCCCTTAAAAGTGGCTTTCTTCGGATGGACAGCAGCTTTGGGGAGGTTTCTTTATTTTGATAAGTAGGTTTGGGGAGGTTTCTGACGATCAACAATTTAAGGAGGAGGCAGATTATTGTCAATTAGTGCTGCGCGTGTAAGAGGGATGCGAAACCAGTGAATCATCTTCTCTTGCATTGTCTAGTGGCTCATAGGTCATGCCTTTTTTCCTTTTCGGAGTGCATTGGGTCATGCCGCATTCTACGATGAGCATGCTTGAGGCTTGAAGAGGCTGCATAGTGCAAAAGCAAGCTAGGGAAGCTTGGAGGGCTGCTCCTCTTTGCTTATGGTGGGGCCTATGGAGGGAGAGAAATAGGAGATCCTTTGAAGGGGAAGAGACTCCTATTTGGGCTTTTAAATTTTATATTCTTAACTCCTTATTGTTTTTGGATTCATGGTTGGTATAGCAAATCAGTTACGTATTTTTTGGATAGTTTGAATCTATAGTGACCTTTTGGTCTTTGTGAAGTTGTATACGGGATGCGCTCCCCTTTTGAATGCTCTTCTATGAAACCTTTACTTATAAAAAAAGAAGATGATAATATTAGGTAATCCGATCCACTTGACAACAAAGTTTTTGGATTGTTCCATATTATGATGAATTTTCTTTTGGCTTGACAACTGACATTTTCCCAAAAAAAAAAAAAAAAATCTCAAAACAGAATAAGAAACTCACAAAGCAACTACCAAGCTGATGTCATGCCAGAATAAGCAATCAAGATTGTGATAGCATGCTATTCATGCAATGCTTCTTAGTTTGTTTCAAATATAACACATAATCTATAGAAGCCATGACACAATTAGCAGGTAACATATATCTAAAAGATGGTGCCATCTCACATGAGCTCACCTGTCAGTTATGGCTTTTTGGCAACTACACAACTAAGCATGACTTAAAAGGATAGCCCATATAAGATTGAAAAAAAATTCATAGCATATTGTTTGAAGTTCTACAAACACTATAACAAGGGAAACGTTCTATTATAAACAGTAATGGCTCAGAAATATTGAGACATCCTGCCACTTAATGAAACAACCAACCTCAGTTTCCTTCTGAAGAGGAATCAAAGCAGCAACCAATGACTTTGGATTCGGCCGCTCTCGGGGCTCATATTGTAAACATCTTGAAGCTAAGCGCACCAACTCAGTGCCATCATCATTAGAAAATTGGCCTTCCAAGCAGGAATCTGTTAACATCTGAATGTTCCTGTCCCTTATTAGGTCAAGGGCCTGACATAAATTGTGCAACTGAGTATTAGGTGGCAATTATATGCAATTTAGTTACTATAAAATACCAAAATGAAATAGTGCACACCTTGAATAATATAAATAAACTAAGAAAAATGCTAAAGATCACAAATATTTTTCATGTTCTATTATCTTGAATGACGTGGATAATGATTTGGCACCACGTGTAATTTTGAAATATTTTTTACAAAGAATTCAGCGAAAGAGAGAATATATAAGAAAGATGGGGGGAGAAGATTCCAACACGACTCAATCACTTGAGTCCAATACTAATCCGCCATTATCATCTATTCAGTATTCACCAAACACACTTTCATTCAACCCCCACAGCTAAAAACTACAAATGTTGTCCATGATTTATCAGATACACTGGCATTGTCACCTCTTTCGCTTCACTGTTGATAAATTTTTTATTTAGTACAAGAACCCCAATTATTACAAAATCAACGGAAAGTTTTTCATTAAAGTGATTCAATTTCAGATAAATCTTCGAATTTCATAGGGGAGAGTGACTTAGAGAGATACCCAATTAAGACACAGAAATTTTTTTGGAGAGAGTATAGAGGATGCAGAAGAGAGATTAAAATAAAAAATAAAAAAGAAGAAGATTTACCCAATTGAATAGTTGTTCCCACCTCCCTATGTAATTCCCTCAGTTTGCTATTCCTTGTGAGAAAATCATTGACAATACATGTATATATAATTATACACACTCAAATACAGCCAAAGGCACCGATGCGTGCAAACAAAAGCAAGACAATCTGTTTCTTTGTCAAAATCATTTTGTTCAAAACCTAAATATTGATCCAAAAAACTTACTTATATCAACAAATCAAAACAGCCCTAAAACAGGTGCAATTAGTGATATGTCTGATTACAAGTACGGCCTTAATATAAATTCATCTGGCTAAAGTTCTGTGTTTGCATAAATTTGGCTCTTAAATATTCAGCGTTGGCATGTGCACTTGGGCTGCGCTACTTTTAGGGCTCTCTAAGACATTTTTACTTATCAGAAACCATATAATTTTTTTCATTAGAAGGTTTGTCCCAAGTTTGGAAGACAATTAAATACACACACACACAGAGAAAGGTCCAATTGGTTTTTTTTTTCATAGGCATCCAATTTGTTTTTTATTACTTGTAGGACTCCCAAGTATAAAAGGAAAATGAGACCCTTTTTAAATAATAATTAATAAATAAATAAATAATCATCACACATTTTAATGCCCTAACCTAGGTTTGTCTTATGATACGGATAATCTGGATTGAAGGAGAGCTGTCATATAATGGTCACAGAATTTAAAATGCTTAACAAACTGATCCACGCACTTGAATTTCAATGGTAAAATTGAATGGGTAAAATAGAAGTTACTGATAAAGCAATCCCACTTTATGAAATCAAATGCAACTTGATGGGACCGTACTATATGGAACCTCCTTTCAGTCCACATAATCAATGTGGTGTGAGGTTGAATGGACCCACAATAATATCTTGTAACGTGTATCATGAAAAGGATTCCAGGATATCTAGCATTACTATTGTAATAATGAATGTATGACAATCGTACAAGGGGCACAAAGTGCAAGTCTAAGCAAAAAGACAACCATCAACCAGAAACATCAGATCTAGAAGGCTCTACAAGACTACAACTCCATAACCACGTTCTGAATAGAACTTCAATCTTGATTATTTTTAACTCACTCATTGCATAACAAACAAAACTTCCCAACAAAACCGCTATAAGCAATTTGTGATGCTCAACATTTTTGACATGTTTCTTCTTTCTTTTCTCATTTTTGTTTTTATTTTTAGTCGGTGGTGCTATTCACGTCCAGAGAGAGCTTCCAGTGCTCATTTTAGAAGAGTTTCGCGTTTAAGTTAATCCTTTCTATGATTAATCTTGGGCCTTGGCCATAGGTTTTATTTATTTATTTTTTATAGTCGGTGTTGTATTAGAAGAATAAAGCATTAAAGTACATGAGAAGAGAGGGCATACCCTTCAATACACATGAAAAAGCCAAAAAGGCAAATAAAAACTAAGAAAGCACATCCTCAGCCCTAAGACCACCTCGGCCATAGTTTTCCTATATTTTGCTTCTTCAATTGTTTATTCAATTGCAGATAGGAATCAAGACCCTTTTACGGCAGAGGAACAACAGGCATTCAATCCAAAATGGGTCTTTAAGAAGCAAATAAATAAAACCGTGACAATTAGTTGTAAAAAAATTTCATTTCTGATTATGAGTTTTTTTATACAAGGAGACAAGATAGCCAGGCAGGTTTTCTTCTTTGGAGATTGAAAGAAGGCAGTGTCCACACTATTTCTATCTTTCGGCTTTTTTATTTCTTGGTTTGAGGGATGAGTTCACCTAATGAATGATTGGTCATTGGATATCGCATTAGCTGTACTCATCGTTCCAAAAAATCTATTTATATATGTCATACCACACGAAGTTCAGCATCTCATTTGAAGATCACAATTCCACCAACAGCTTCATCTTTTCTTCTCTTTTTATTTTTCCCTCTTTGACAAACTCCAACAAAATGCTACTGTTTTGCAAAATGAAAGATGACAAATCTAATATTCTTAGGAAAATTATGTTTCATGGTTTAAAAAAAATATATCATTGGAGCGGAAAGAGGGAGAAGGGGGGGCGGCGTGGCGGCTGGGTTTAGAGATGACACAGGCTTCCAAGAGAGGGCATTTGTCTTTGTAAGATTTCAGATCCGGAGGCATTATATGCATGAATATTGTTAACTTCTCTTGGTCCAAATGAATTGCTTAGCCTCTCCAACAGACATAGCACCATCCGAAAAGAAAAATAAACGGGAGAAAGATGAAGGTGGTGTTCAGGCACCCGATTACCTAGAAATTTCTGGCACCTTCTCAACACATCTATCTAAATAGCATTTTGTAAAAATTTGTTCACCAAGCTAGTATTCAGTGTGTTTAAACAAAATATATTGAAAAAAGACTCCCAAAAAAAAACATTAGCGCATCATGTTTGCCATAATAACATGAATTGAGCAAGACTTACATGGCTTGGAGGAATGTGTTTTCCACTGAGAAGGTCAAGTAAAAGGGTACCAAAGCTATACATCACACTTTCTGGTGTTACTCTTCCTACAAGCAAGAGAATAGACCTGAATTATATGCGACATCAACAGATAAATGATTATGACATGCTCAAAAACATTCACAGAACAATAAAACCATGAAGGCTGAAGAAAATACCAGGACTAGTTCATGTTATCACATCTGTACAAACTCCCACATGAAGAAAACATGAAATTTTTTAGTCACAAAATGCCTTCACATTTTGATCATTTTGTAAATTATTCCGATCATAACCATCAATATACAGTATATGGTTATATATATACACACACATGTATAGAGGGGGGAGAGAGAGAGAGAGAGAGCTTCTAAAAGGAAAATATGAAGTGGGAGAGAATGAGGCTTTCATCAATGCAAAATAGAATCCAATTCGGCATTGATTTTCTTCAACAAGATGGATCTACTACTAGTTCATTATTACTGACGTTGAGGGAAGAAAAAGAGGGAAAAAATAACAAGTATAAAAGTAAGAAGAAGATAAAAGCTAGACAAGGAAGAGAGACCTGGAAAGAGAACACTGAGGAAGGACGGTCTTCTTTTTCATGTGGAAACTGAATAATGAACCAAACAAAACAAGCACCTCGATCTTACTTCTATGAAATAAAGAGAAAGAAGAATTTTACAGATCACATAAGCCTCCTGTCTTGCTAGCCAGCTGTTATGGGTAAATTGAGGGTCATCATTCAAATCAGCATTGTTGGGAGAATTTTCCCTTTTCTCCTTTGTTACTCCAAAATTTCCTAAGACCATTTATCGACCCAAGGATTGCTTACAAAATTTGACAAACTGGAAATTTTTAAATGGGGATACCAAATAGAGCAATTTACCAAGGGATGTAGTCCAATGGGACATCCTCACCTTCCAAAGTAGAAGGTAGAGGGTTCCAGTCCCCATAGGGGCAATGTGAGTGTGTGAGTTTCTTGCTTGGAACCAAAAATAATAATAATTTCCTCTTGAGTGCTAACAATTCCTTGAGGGGGGTGTGTGAGTATCAACTAGGAAAATAATAATAATAATAATAATAATAAGTACGCAAAATCAGCATTATCACCTGAGACTATAATAAAAAATATAAATAAAAAAAAAACTCACACTCAATAATTGTTTAAAATAATTCATGAAAAACTATAAAGATAAACTGTATCCTTTACCGGTGAGATAATAAAAGCTATGCAATATGTGTAAGTTTCTCAATTGTATGGCATATTTCACATTTCAATAACCATTACACTTCAGTTATCTCAATGACTGTAATCCATATGCACATTAAATCAACTTTTAATATGACAAAGTTGGAAAGTTGAAGCAAGTTTAGCTTGTTGGTTAACTCAAACATATAAGACACTTCGCGTAAGACAAAGAATGTCATTCATAAATGCAGAAGCGGCAATTTTAACAAAGAAATGAATGTCAAGAGCAATAAGGACTCCTACTTCTCCTCATATACCCCACCAAGTAGAAGGTATCGAGCTTTTGGAGTGGACATGAATCCCAAGTGGTTTGTTGTTGGGGGGGGAGCCAGAACCAAAGTGAACAATTATGATTATAAAATGCAAAATCCTAAAGAGTTGGTGAATGAGGATTTGAGTACCAAGCTCAAATATAAGTATAACAACAAAATCCAGATAGATATAGAATGATTGCCAAAGAAACTTTACTTTGCATGACCACATTTCTTGTTTGAGAGGGGTTTTACCAGTTCTCAGGTACTCAGGAGGAGTAAATGCCAAGTTCGTGCTATAACTTTTCCCGTCTCTACTGTTCTTCATTAAACCAAAGCATGACAATCTAGGATTACCATCCTGTAACATAACAAGATAAGGACAAGCAGTGTGTAAATTCAATTATGACTGGCATATAAGAAAAGAAAAGAAATGGATGACAAATTAGAAAATTATAGTATATTTACATCATCAAAGACTATTCTGTAAGCATTAAGATCATGATATAGAGCTCGTCCTTTAGTGGTGCAATATTCCAGAGCTTGTGCAAGATACAAGGCCACTCTTAATCGCATTGCCCACTTCATGGGCTGCGCTTCCCCTGAGTCAGCATGCAAACAAAATTCAATATTGTATTTAAAAAATATACAACAAAATGATCAAACAGGAGAAATGATTTCAACACAAAATAAAATAGTACCAGAAGAGAAGCATACTCAAATTTGATTGGGTAAGTATGAAAGAAATTAAGTATATAAATTATGGGGGAGATTGCTCCAAATTTTTTAACTCGAGCTAGAGTTATGGAAAAGGAAATCGAAAACAATGAGCTACTAGATATTTCTTGAATTCACTAGAAATAAAAAGACACACAAGACCAACAGTGGTGACTAATAGATTATCTTATGCCCAAAGGGGACATAACATTGATGATAGAGGGGGTGGGAAACATAAATAATATAGTAATATAGAGGTTAGAAAATAATATATCACAAAAAAATTGTGCCAAGGCAGGAAGAAGACGACAGATGTCATCTTTTCTTTGTCATATTAGCACTCCTATCTATTGGGATTTGTATGCCCTGGCATAGCAAATTCTTACTTGAATTGTATAGACATTGTTCCTTATCTTAAATGACATTAATGTATGATAAAATTGGTGAATGTTAATGTATAATGTTTTCGATTCATGATGGAATTAAATATGTCCATTTGGTTGCAAGAGATATTTATACATATTTGATGGCGATCAATACGAGAATATAAATAGAAACCATAAATAGGTCATAGTCGGTAATTAAGAATGGACTCTTAATTAACTAAGAGTTGCACCGGATTCGCGATAGGTTAAGATATATTGATAGAACCGTCGTATGCAATAGCTCCCTATCAATGTCAAAACATATGACGCTCAAGCATAAAGAGATATAGACTCTTTTACTAATTAGTAATTACTTTGATTTGTTCGGCGGAGCCTTCAGAATCCAATGACCAGCACTTTTGGGTAATTATGTAATTAATAGTTAGAGGGTTATATTCTCAATATTTGCATCATTGCTAGTTGCATTTATTTTGTATTGATTATTGTTGATCACAAAGTAAATTCGACGGCCTTCGTGTGTTTTGACAAAATGATTTTTATGTATTTATTTACTAAATTATTATTTTTGTCAAGCAAATATTTTATTGTGATCAAGCCAGGAAATAATCAAGAAATCAAAATAAATATATTAATCGTGCGGCCGAATTGATGGCTACAATTATCCGATAGCTAATTATGCATAGAGGGGTCAAAGTACAACATTGACTTAGTGGTTATTTGCTATTTGATTGGAGATCAATTAATTTATTTTGGTGGAGTAAAAATTATTTTATGAATTAATTGAATTTGGTTCATGGTATAATGGACCGGGTCAACACTTATTAATTCATTTGAGCCAAGAGAATAGTAAGCCTAAAGGATTCTCACCTACAACCCAACTTGATATTAGAGGTGCATTAGATTGAAGATAGCACTTTAATTGTAAAGATTGAGAATAACTTTTGACACGTCATGTGACTATAAATACATATATGATGTGTATTGTTAGTAAGCTTTTGGGTATCATTAGTTTGTGAAGATAAATATCACTCTCTAGAATTTTAGGATTTGTGTTCTCATCTAGTAAAGACTCCACAAGCTATTCATCCAAGGCCTTCATGGAGACATATTGGTGATTCCTAAAGGTAAGACTACTATGGTGATGGTGGTGACCTGATAAGGACGAAGGAGCTAAAGTGATCTTCATAAGGGAGAACATTCCCTTTGTGGATGGTTTTGAAGCTTACTCAAGCTTCTAAGTTTACTAAATCTAATGAATGTATCATCATCTTCTTCTTGCATTAAAGTAGCTCGATGGATCAAGATCATTTGATGAAAAGTCCTCCTCTAATTTTTGAAAATATTCATTTCCCTAACACTATCAACCTCGCATTATAAGTCAATTGGTAAAATATAGAAACCATTCTGAGTTCCAAAAACAATTGTTTCTATGAGTTTCCACTCTATCATAGTAGAAGAGTTACAAGCAGAAATTGCAAGTTCAAATTGATATCAACCTTGGTTTTTACTGTAAAAAAAAAAAAAAAAAAAAAAAAATTGAATTTTCCAAATATAGAAATGAATGTTGGAAGACTGTTAAACACATGAAAATATAACAAAAAAGTTATACATCTAACAGCCTTACAAAACAAACTTACAATGAAATAGGTGTTTGGCAAGTGTCTCATTGGGCATGAATTCTGCAACCAGCAACCGCTCGTCACCTTCGTAACAACAACCAAGTAGATTTGCCAATCTGTGGTTCCTGAGTTGACCGACGGATCTTGCTTCTTCCTAAAGTTGTGAAGGAAATCAATTCATCGGTACATTAGATAACCAACTCAAATTTTTATTGCAACTACAAGGAGAATTCCATGTTAGAAACTTTAATACATGAAGTACAAGACTGATGTAAATAAGCTTCACAGGCCATAATGTTTGCAAATTGAAGTGAAATAAAGAAGGGGAGATATAAATAATCATGCACATTATCATTCTTCTGCGTTTGCAATGTAGCATAAAATATATGAAGCCGATAAGCATACTTATTCATCAACCTTTACAACTGGAATAATTCAACAATGAACATTTAACTTGTCAACTGCTGATATTGTAGATACACCTCCCATTATTCATGTATAAATACAAGTTGTCAAAACAAAATATGTGACAAACGTAGGAAACGAAAGTTCCAAACAAGTCTTCCTCAACATAATTACTAACAATGTGACGTATAAATAATTTTGTCGAACAAATATAAACTCGTGTATTTATCGAGAATATATATTATTTAGGAATCAGGATGATTAAGCATTGATAAACTAAAACATAAAGAAAAACTTCTTGAAAATAACATGTGGTGTCAGATTGCTATAGGGTTAGCATGTACTTACTAAAAACTGTCGAGCATCGGGCCAAGCAGATCTATTAAAGCGTTTTACAGCAATACGCATTTGATTATCCAACTTCCCTTTATAAACCACATTTGGTGCCTTCTCCCCGTGTTCAGAAACTATATTCTCTACAGCAAATCCAGATGTAGCCATCCTCAGTTGTTCAACAGTGTATTCACGAAATGTGGGCAAATCATCAACTTCGCTCTGTTCATCATTTTCTGGCAACGAACATAAAAATTTGTCAAACATGGCCCTAGTCAGCGAAACGAGAAACTAAAAAACATAAATTGGCATACCAACAAGGTGGTCTTCATGAACAGGTCCATTTTGTTCCGAGACCCAGCAGCAGCTGGTGAGTTTGGAACACTCACAGCCCATCCCAATATCAGAACTAGGTAGCAGACACCAATGACTGTTAAAGCTTCAAATATCAACGAAACTCACAAACAGTTCATCAAGTTTCACACGCCAGTCCAGTTACGTCCCTTCTAGTGAACAAGTTCAAATCCCATCAAATTGCAGCTTAATATATACAACTTGTAAATAAGAGCACCAAACCCATGTAGAAAACAGTCATGCTTTAAATTTTTCCAGTTACACAAACACAAATTGACCTCTGGCATAAATCAAAATGAGTCAATTGTTTCCCTTTTAGTTCCCAAAACCTGCAAAGAAAGTTCACGTTGACATAAACCAATTCATACGTTCCTATATAGACATACATATGTATATACAGTCAAACACGGCGAATTTATATAAACACAAATTTACCCTTTACAACAAAATTGATCAAAAACACTTAGTGAGTAATGAACAAGTAGAAATACACATACCAATATAATGATTCAAATCTGAGTCAACTCAGTTCAACCTGGGCAGCAGTTAACTCGAAATCTCGAAACACTCTATCTGCAACTTCAGAAACTCCTTTTACTGAGTCAACACGAATCAGAACCTGACGCGGATAGTCAATCAAGCAAGTCTATAGTCAAATCAGAACTCATGAAAGGCAATAGCAGCACACGAATGGAAAGAAAAATCACTTTCAAACCTTCTATAACCAAGGGCTTCGTTGAGCTCGATTCGGAAGAAAAAAGATAGAAAGTAAGTCCTTGACTATCCACGCACATAACCCACGTATGTGTATATCTATCGATATATATAAATATTATGTGTCCATATATAGAAAGTGGTTTGAGAAATTAAGGAATGATTGGGGTAAACTGGGTTGAATCAAGATCATGCCATCTACGAATGAGAAGTTCCGAAAGTGAAAGGAGAGATTGAGTATATAGATATGTTGATATAGAAGTAGATAGAAACAGATATAGATCTCTTCTTCAGTGTGTACTCAATTACTCTGTTTTCCAATTTCCACCGACATAAACCCTCTTTTTCTATATTTTTTCGGCAGCTAAGCCCCATAATCAATTGCCAACCATTGGCCACAAAACAAAACTTTATATTACAAAATTATTTAAGTTATAATTACCTGCCCAGATAAAGAGCAGGGTAATAGAAAAAAAATTCCTCTTTTCCTTTTTGCTCATATTTTACTTTTAAAAGAACTATTATAAAATGTTGAGAAACGCTATACAAATTATGTGTTTTTAAACTTTTTTAAATTGCATTTTATTTTATTTTTTACAGTGATAAGTTTATAAACAGTACAACTACAACAAATATCTTTTTCAATTATTTTGAGTGCGTTATGTGAATTATATGTTTTTTTCCGCTTATAGAATTTTGTAAGATATAAATTGATAATTTGTGGGTGTTAAAAGTTTTAAGATTGTTTCAAATTGTTTTTTAATTGATGATAAGTTTTTAAATGCTAATAGGAATGCATGAGACTGCAAATTAACAATGAGTTTTTAACTTTCTTCACGGAAATATTAAATATTTTTATCAATTGCGTATTATTGTGTCCCATTGAAAGACTAAAATGATACTCCTATCATTTTAAAAAATATTATTATTATAATATATTTGTGTGGGTGAAGAGTTATGCTATAATTGTGGAAAATCGACCACCAAACATGAGAATGAGTGTTTAATTGTTGATTTTTGGTAACTTTAAATTTTCTCTTCATTAAATTATAACGTAACAGTATTATAAAACGAACTAATGACATGTAAACCTGATTGATAGTATTTCTTATATTCTGCTTATGTATTTTTACAAAATAAGTATAATAGTTAAAATTGGAGTCTCTTTAAATTTTTTGAGTTTTCCTGAGAATGTACCATTATTGTTAAAAAAAAAAAAATAAAGAAAAAATAATAATAATAAATCACGAATACTTTCTTATGTTACTAATCCGGTGTATCACTCCTCTGCATTAGTTAAGATAATAAAATATAATATGAGTGTAATTCGGTAATGATATTTCATTTGAAGTGTTGAACAATCAAATTCAATAAAATAGGAAACTTATTAAGGATTTGTGGTTTAGTGATTTTTTTTTGGAATAATACAAAAAAAAAAAATATTTGGTGTTTTGGTGGTCAAATGCCAAAAAGGTGAAGTCAAACTCAATGTTCCCAAATTAATGAAATTTTATCGAATGCTGACTTGGAAATGGAAGTTTACAGTAGATTTTCTATTAATTCCTAAATTGTCTTGAGGCGAATCTGGGTTTGACCTTGAAAGACTAGACTACCCCCTCCCTCTTTCTCAGAAACACTCTATTCTCAAAAGATTTATTATCACCAGAAGCCCAAAACATAGTCACTCTATCACTGCCACTGCCACTGCCGCTGCCACTCTCCACTCTATCTCTATCTCTATCCTTCTTATCACCACCGGTCCCCTTCTCTCTCAATCTCTATCCATCGTCACCACCATCTAGTGTATACCACAAAAATCTTAACCATAGGGTCGAATTGAAAAAAACACTAAAAAATTATCAAAATAAATAATAATAATAATAATAAATACTACTAAAAATTGATCAAAATAACTTCACCACCACTGATTTGCCAGCCCAACAAAACCACCACCTACCTAACACCAATATTAAATCATTTGCCGTCACCTTGCTAGCACGACCTCCCTCTCGCTGCAGCGATCGGAGAACCATATGAGTAAGGCTGCAAATTAGGCTGGCTCAACCCAACTCAGCCCCAACCCCACCTCAACCTGAATCGGGTTGGGTTGGCCGGCTCGAATTGTGCCCAACATGGGTTGTGGTCATAATCCGGACCGAATATTTTCAGGCGGGTTAGGTCTAGTTAATAGGTTGAGTTTTTTTTATATATAATTTTTTCCCCCGAGAATTTATATATATTTGATTATATTATTATTAAACATATATATATTTTTAGGGCAAATCATTTCAGCCTCCCCAATCGCCTCCATCTCTATTCTCGTTCTCAACTCTGAAATTGCCCCTTCTCTCTCTCTCTCTGCAACTGCAAACTACAAAATCTACAAGAATTAGAAGTTCAAACATATCTTTCAGTTTCCATCGCCCGTTGTTCCAGTTCGGGTTCACCGTTCACAAGCTTCAGCCACTGCCTCTCAACTCTCAAGCTTGCCCCCTCTCTCTGCAACTGCTAACTTATATGTATGGGTTTTGTTTTAATTTTTTGAAGTAACGACGGCGGAAGGACAGCGTAGAGGCGGGGGGACGACGGTGGCGGTGGATTAGCGATTGAGGCGAGGGACGCCGGCAGCAGCAAAGGGACGCTGGTAGAGAAAGAAAGAAAGAGAAAAAGAATTGAGAGAAAGATAAAGAGAAATAAGAGAGAGGAGAAAAAAAAAAAAAAAAATTAGTTTTGGGTTAGGTTCGGGTTGAGCCCAAGCCTAACCCGAATATGTATAGGTTTTGACAAAACCTAACCCGAATATAAACCCGATTTGTGAATTTTAAGCCCCAATTTTAAAATTTGTGGGTTGGGGTTTGGTTGGGCTAGGTTAGCCCGCCCAAGTTGCAGCCCTACGGATGAGAGCATGATAACCTCTTTGACAATTTCAGGTAGGGGTTGAAATGCAACTTTACTGAGAATTTCACAAAGGACTCTAGCTTTTAGGGACACGTGTGGGCTTTTAAGAAATGATGCAAGTTGTTGTTGTTATTGCAAATGTGATTTTGGGATTTGTGATGATGATTGGATGGTCTTAGGTATGTGTTTGAGATTTTCAGCCATAGGCTCCATGGAAATTTCTTATTAAATGGGTAGTTAGGTCATTTCGTAATAAGTCAGTTTAGAAATTAAAAGAAAATCAACAGTAAATTTCAATGTCTAAGTTAGTAATTGATAAAACTTCATTAATTTAGGAAATTTGGGTTTGACTCCATCTTTTTGGCATTTGACCACCAAAACACCATTTTTTTTACCAAGTGGATGGTATGAGTTCAAGTCTCAAAAGAAGCAAAGTGAGTGTGTGAATAGCGTGTATACGAGTTTATTGCAAACAAATAAAGTAAAAAATTTGTAAACTTAAACTCTATAAAGAATAAGAATTGCCACCTTCGCTATCTTCCATGTAATGACCCGGTCATTTTATTTCCTTTTCATTCTCTCAGATTTTCACGGATATTTTTTTTCCGTTAATCTTTTATTTTCTGAGTTCGGTTTCTCGTTACTTAGTGTCGTCTCGAGTACTCTGTAATGGTTTCCGAGACTCTTTTCTTTGGATTGACAATTTCCTTTGAGGACCGCGTCAATTCCGCGTTTTTATTTTTTCGACACTGTTCACTTTTTGTCTTTTTCTGTTTATCGTTTTTCCTTACATAACCTCACTTTTTGTACTCGGATTTGATTCCGGCTTTGCATGCATCAACGGTATTTGATTTCCATAACATTTGTATTTTTACTTTTGTAGAAAATACATTCTAGTTGCTCACTTTCTCGTAAAAGGGCATAGATGCATACCTTTTTGTAAATATTCTTAACTCTTGGGGTTTTAGTGTAATTATGCAAAGTAATTATTTTCTGTCTTAGGGACTATTTTGTAATTTAATTTGAAAGATATTTTTAAAAATGACCTTTTTGTAATTTTTGAAAAATGTGACAAATGTCATATTCTCATGGAGCCACTTGTTGGCATTTGGGATGAGTGACTTGAATACATCATCTTGTGACATTTGGAGGGTGGGGATTCACTCACTTGTTGGCCTAGGATTGGTGCACTTGTTGGCTTAGATGGTTGGCAGGTGTAGGCTTAGGATTAAGCATAGGAAGGAGCATTGGATTTGTGACAAGTGTAGACTCACAATTTAGTCTTGCATTAGTGTGTGTGTGAGAGGTAGTGTAAGATCATATAGCGAGTGGATGATTTTTATTTCCTCCACTCACACTTAATCTCATTTGTAACATTGTCTTATTCACTGCAAACCCTAGCCACCATTAGAGAAGCTTGATGCTTAGGCTTTAACCTTAATTTTTGAAGGCATTCCATTCACCTTAGACTATAAACCTTGGGAGACAAAAGTTTCCTATTGCTCTTCTCTTCAAAACCCTTGTTTTGTTTTCCATTTTTAAGCTTGGTTGCTTGGGATTATAGATATTCAATTCTTTATTGAGGTAGGGGGTGTTATATTTATTTTTCCAAGTGTTTTACTTGCTTTTGTATGAAATATAAGTTGTATGCATGTCTTTTATTAATTTGAGAAATTAATGATGTATCTTAGTTTGCATATAACTCATTTTAGACTTGATTTATGGCATGACCATGAGTTGATCTTTGTTATATATTAAATTTGAATGATTTGAGTGAGTTTTTAAATCTAGAGATGAAATGAATTTAATTTGATTTAAATTATAGTTAATTGTGTTTTGTTTATATTCTATTTTAAACTTGATATATGGTATGACCATGACTTAATGTTTGATATATATTAATTTGAGATCATTTGAACAACATTTGAAATCTAGAGATTTAATTGATTTAAATTAATTAAATTTTATTTAATGGTATTTTGCTCATTTTGTACTTTTGATTTGATATATATAATGACCATGATATGTTGTTTAACGTATATTAAAATAGGGACATTTGGAATAAATTTGAAATCTAGATAATTTAATTATTTTATTTAATTAAATTATATCTAATGCCTCAATTGATCTATTTGTGTTTTAGAAGTTGTTTATATGTTCAAATCATGGACCTGGACTTATTGTGTATTCACTTGGTTGTATTTTGAACATGGGATAACATTGTTGTTCTATTTATATTCACGAGAACATGTTTTCTTTATGGAATATATTGTTACCTTGTGTAATGAATTGCACACTTTGTAATTGACATTATATATGCCATTTTAGAATTTAAACTCTAAGGCATGGATTGTATCGTTTTAACTTGTGCATGGAATGTGATTTCGTGTATTATATAAATTATGTGTAAGTTGTGAACTTATTTGATTTATTTTGGAGTCTTGGGACATTGTTGTTACTATAATATGGCTAGAGTTTGG